GAAGCAGCCGTCGGCCACCACGGTCAGTCCGGCGTGGATATCCTGCAGGAAACACGGCGACGCGGTTAGAAGGTTCCTCCCGTGGGACGAGAGGGAAACGTGAGATTTAAAGCAGACACCTTGATGTCTCCAGTTTCTTTATCTTTATACTGGACTCCAGTTACACAGCCATCCTCCTCCAGCAAGCTGCTCACCGTGCCTTCTATGAATCTGACACTAGGGGGCGCAATGAAACGGTTCATTAACAATCAAAATAACCAGCAAGTGAGAACATTTTTATGGTATATTACGGTAATTCTAGTCAGAATGAAGGGAGCCAATTTCCACCAAGAATTTGTGAGCTCTAAAAGTTGAATATTTGTGAGAAAAAAAAACTGAAATTTTGAGATTAACCCCAGAAATCCTCTAAAAAAATTTTAAATTTGAGGTGCAACAACTTTTGACTTTACTTTTGAAACTCAGAAAATTTCCAAATGTGGAACATTTTTATCCTTGATTGTCAGAAAATTGCCAAGTTTTTTTTCAAGAATATTTCTGAGATTAATCGCAGATTAATCTGAGCTTCAAAAGTCCAACATGTTGAACTTTTGGAAGTCCCAAGATTTTTCTAACGTTTCTGAGGTAAAATTAATATCTAAAAATTCTAAACTATTTTTTATTTAGACAATTTTCAACTTTTCAAACTCAATAATGTCCTAGTCTTTTTCTAGAAACATCTGAGATTAATCTACATATTCCTCCTCTTTTTATTTCTATCTATGACGGCCCTAATATGCCGTCATAGTTAATTACCGATACGACTCGGCTTACTTTGACTCTGCCATGGCAGCTCTCCTCAGCCCCATTATGAAGCGGCCATGATGGAAAGCTCTTCCACACTGGACACTCCCTTTCTCCTGAGGATAAGGGATCTCCACCTCTGATTGGCTGTCCATGTCGTGGATCACATAGCCGTTCACCTGGTGGGCGTCCACACCTTCCACTGAACCTGAGGCCAAACAGTAGTTACACAATGCAGGTTTATGACTGAATAAACTCCTTGTTAATGGAAACCCTGTTTGAAACCTGAGAGCAGCCGTTTCAAAATAATTTGCTAAAATACAAAAAGTCTGTTTTTAAGTTAATCATGTTGCTCATGGTTGGAGAAATTAATCTTTAGACACGAGAAGAAAAGAAACTTTGACCAAATTGAATATACTTCTACAATTACAGTCGGTCCTAGTTGTACACAAACTAACCAGCTGCTTAGGGCCTCCAGGCCACAAGGGGAAAACCAAGAATGCTTAAAATTTCGCACATAAGATAAGAAACTTATATTTTTTGTATAAGTAAAACACTTTTTCTTATGTCTCACCACCTGTAAATACAACATTTAGTCTATTTTCTATGTTCCACTGAGTCTGTCCTGAAGCTCAACAATTAACCATGAAGCTAGTCAAGTAAAGCAGTGGTCAAATATGAATAATGTTTCATTTTTGACTGTAATGGTGGGTAATTAGCTTAATTGGACGTTGCCTCAAGGTCAAATTCTGCATAGGGCTTAGTTTGAGTTCGGGGCGATGCGCACAACAAATGATCCATGTATTATGCAAATCCCGTATCTCATCCTGAATAAAGATTATTACAGAAGGAACCTCAGTTTCTGGTCGACTTCATTATTTTCATGAAAATTCTAGAGGAGCCGTATCACATTTTATATGTCCAAAGACTCAGTCTAACAAAAAAGTAGATCCAACAAAAGCACTGAAGTGCTTCAACTTTCATGATCTGTTCTACCTTAATGCAGCTCATTCTAAAGAACTTTTTGGTCAGACAGAATTAATGTTCACTCAATAAACTGTCTTGCTGAAGGTAGATTAAAATTAATTTGTTAAAGACACATTGTAAATGAAGTATTCAGCAGAAATACAGACAGATAACCTCTGGTGAATATGTGTGAAAAAGCCTTCCAGATAAATTCACAATTTATCAGAGAACCTAATCTTGCATTAAAAATAGCAGCAAAACAACTTTTAATTTGAGAAAATGTGCATATTAATTCTGATTCATAAAATTACTAATGGTATGAATATTAGTACCATTAACAATCTGTTTAAAAATAGATATGACACGCATGTTTTGATTTTTGAAACTATGACTTTCTGTTTCCCTGAGTATAATTCCTCTTATCTTGCTTGGTTATCACGTTTACAAGAGATGAAATAATAAATAAATCATAACGTAACATAACTTTCTGCTTGGCAAACCATCCAAACTTGTCTGGTGAAGCATGTTGGACAGTTTTCTCCCAGCAGTAACTGACCTTCCAGTCCCAGGTCCCTGAGGGCCCTGAAGCCCCCCGGCTGGAGCAGCTCCCCCACTATCCTGTCCGGCTCCTTCAGGTCCCTCTCCACCACAGTCACCGTCCTGCCGTCCCGGGCCAGGACAGCCGCCATGGCCGAGCCCAGGACTCCGGCCCCGACTATCACCACATCTGGGCCCAGGCCCTCAGAGGAGCCACAGAGCGGGCCACACTGTGAGGTGGAGGACTCCGGCTCCGCTCTTCTTCTTCTCTTACTCTGCAAATTCAAAAGTACTTTTTCCAGACTTTTCATAGTAAGAGAAACAAAACCCAGGCAGACTGAACCAACAAGCAGAAGGTAAAGCATCTCTGCTGACTCACCTTTTCAGTTTTCTTCTTCTCTGCTTTTTTGTTGCTTTCAGCTGCAGTTTGAGGGATGAAGTGTTTGACCAGAGGTAGAGCTGACAAGAGGCTCAAAGGCAAACAAACTATCTGAGACACTGACAGTTTGTGACCATGAACAAACCTCATGTAAGAGATCAGCAGTCCGGCTGAGAGGAACAGAGCTGCTATCAGCAGCAGCTCCTTGTGAGCCACATTCAGCAGCATGTTGGACTTTTTATAAATGTACGTGAAAGTTGCAATTCCCAAAAAGGTCCACATTGTTTCAAAATATTTTTTTTAAATACTTAAAATAAAATCTCCCGACGGAAATTTGTTTTTCTTTGTTTTTAAGTTAGAAGTTTTAGATTGTTCGGTTGCCGCTAAAAATAAAAATAAAGAACAAAAAAATGAAGAAGCCTGACGGCAGAGGCTGGTCTCAGACAGCTGGAGAGATGCTGCTGAATATTTTATGATAATAACAACAGAGAGCTCTTCGGATTGGCTGGGGCCTCGCTCTGTCTGCTGCTCCGCTTGGCCCGCCAATCAGGACCGACGTCAAGGTGAGCAGAGCTCGCGCTATGCCCTGATTGGACGGCGGGGACACCACCGCGTGTCCTCTGGCTCGCTGATTGGACAACCGCGGAACAGGTTGGTAGTATGATGTGATGTCAATGGAAGGTGCGTGTTTTTAGTCTTTTTTTTTCCGAAGCAGAAGTGACAGAAAAGATGTTCTCTGTGAGATCTGACAGGATGGCTCACTCTTTGGGTAAACACAGAATGCGGTAAAGTAAACTCATGACTCAGAAAAAAGCGCAGAGTGAGAGCTCTTTCTGGATTTCTTTCTATGAGCTAGCCAAGTCTGAAAATGTTGGAAATATTGTATAACTCCATTATTTCTCATAAAATGTTGACTAAATAATTGTATGACGTTGAGGGAAAGTGTAACAAATATGCCAAACAATAAAATAGCTCTTGTAGTGACATGAGTTCAAGTTTTGACCTGTAACCTGTTAAATGTGGACAAATTGACTGACTTCCTCGTGAAAATGATGTAATCCTCTTACCTCTTACACAGAGACTCGTTTGAAATATGACTGATATGAACTGGAGATAATTTCTTGATTCTTTAGTTTTTCAGGGACAGGCGGAGACTTTTCACAAAAATGTTATTGGGGCTGACAGTCACTGCCTCCATGCATTGCATGGCAGGCACCTATTAATTATTTTTTATTTTTCTTCCGTGACCGTTAATGCTGCTCGTACAGCCCATCCATAAATGTGGTACTAAAACACGCGGCTCGATGACGGTAGGATTCGGAGTTACCATGGCGACGTAAAAAGCAAAAAAAAAAAAAAAAAAAAACGAGCAAAGATTTTCGTCAGATTTTGACCCCCAAAAAATGTTGAAATCGCCGTCACGCCCTATCGGGATCGAACTCGGTCACAATATTAACACGCTTCCCTGCTCCGGTAAAATGTTTTTGACATTTTGCTATTGCTTTAAGGTTTTCTGTCAACGTGCTTCAGAGGGTAGACATGGAACAGGATTTCCACACGCTCAGCCAGATTGACTTTAATGTATTTCTGAAAAATGTCATGCTATTTACATGAATTACTTTCATTTTGGACTTTAGAAAACCAAACCTTTCACGGAGCTTTAGAAAAGCTGCGCAGTTCGCTCATCAGCCACAAGGTGTCACTGTTTCCTTTGGAAAGCGCGTCGTTTCGTTTCGTTTCACGTGACTTTTTTACATGCGAGGTCTCACAAACTCCCTCACGTTTTAATGGGTTCAGTTTATAGTTTGTTAAAGCACTTGATTCATTCAAAAGAGAAATAAAACATTTTTTTTATTATTATTATTATTCAGTCATGTTACTGTGACAAACGTTCAAGCATTTTATGGGAAGCTGCCAGACCACAAGAAGCAGAGCAATTAGAACGTGAGAGAAAAATGATGTTTATAAAGATTTTTACAGATGAATATGAAAAACGTCACCATCTTTCAGAACGATGACCTAAGTCAAAGTCAGGTTTCACCTGTCGATAGACACAGATGTTCTGTGAAAACCTCAAAGGTTCAATAATCACCGAAGACCAAACAGAGTCATAAAGACCAAGGATTACATTTGCGGCTTATGTTATAAAATAATATTCAGAGCTTTGTTTGGAGCTCTGTTTCATCTACTGGTTATAGAAAGTTTAAGACCTAAATGGAAATAGAACTTTCTTGAAATGTAATGAATCGGCGCATATCGTTTCAGTCAAAGTCCAGACCTAGATAAAACTGAGAATCTGTGGCTAGTTTTAAAAAAGCATTTTCCCAAATGCTCTTCATTCAGTCTCAGATCAGATTAATGTGCAGAACAATTGGCTAAATTTCAACCTGTAGACGTGCAAAAGCTGAAGGAGACGATTAGGTTCATTGATCACTATAAATTGCCCTGTATTTGTGTGTGTGTGTGTGTGTGTGTGTGTGTGTTCACGTGTTCATGATTGAGCTGATCAGATTTCTTATACCAGCTCATGAATACAAAAAACAAACACAGGAAGTAAATCTGTTGACGGCGTTTCCATTTCCTCTCCTGTCCTGAGAAACAAACCATCAGATCCAACTTTTAGGTTGTTTTTTTATTATTTGTAATGGTGCATTTAGAAAATGCTGAAACATCAACAGAAAAAGTAGAAATGACATAACAGACAGACGGATAAATCATAAATATTAAATTAACACGTTTTTGCAAAGTACAGGTTTTATATTACAGCCTTTGGTCTGGAACATATATAAGGTGGAAACGCCCACAAAGCCTTGCTTATTACATCTCATCTCCATATACTTACACATTTGCCTTCACACATTAATAAAGAACATTTTTACATCACCTAAAATTCTCCCATGATTACAACTGCAGTCTTTTTATGTTGTATTTTGCATAATAAATCAGCAGAATGGAAGGCAAAACGAAACGGACCGAGCAGCTGGCACTGCAGAGGCACCTGAGCCCTTAACGCCTCTGGTTTGGCATCATTGATGTTTGGCACATGAGGGTGGCTTTGCACTTTCAACTGGATGTGTGTGTGTGTGTGTGTGTGTGTGTGTGTGTGTGTGTGTGTGTGTGTGTGTGTGTGTGTGTGTGTGTGTGTGTGTGTATACAGAGGAGCGTTGCAGAGAGAGAAAAAAAAAAGAGCCCTGTGAAGGAAAACATTCGAGTCCCATGCGTCCAGTTCCAGGCTGCCACAGTAACCGCTGCAAGGCGACGGACTTACATTCCACATATTTACACAGAAACAGTGATTTATTTATGTAGGCAGCCCGCTGAAGACTCCGCAGTTTTTAAAGGAAAAAATAAAAATAAAATAAAATAAAATAAAAGTTTGTTTCCAAAGTTCTTCCAGCAGTTTGCACCTTCTGGTGTTCATGAGGCCAGTGGAGTCATCTCGGTTCAGGCACATGGGGGCTGAAGCTGCTATGAGGATGAGGAGGAGGGGGGCTCTGGGAGGCCGGGGTCTCTCTTCCTCTTCTTCTTCTTCTTCCTGCTGCAGGGTTTGCACATGCAGCACAGGATGCAGGGCGACGCCAGCAGGAGGAGTGGAGACGTGACCAGGACGATGATGCTGACCCCCACCAGGATGCCCACCACCTGGTCCACAAAGACAAGCTGGTATGAAACACGCATTAAGCCAGGGGTGAGCAAAGCGTGGTGCGGGGGCCACTCGTGGCCCTCTGAAGGATTTTTTGTGGCCCCTGACCACAGTTCCATTGAAGCAAATCTGGACTGCACCACTTGACTCCTTGTTTTAGCACCTTGAAATTGGGTCAATGTCACTTCTCAGCAAGTTGCTGCCTTAACACGCCACCTAATTAGTAAACATGATCATAATGTAACAGCTTAGAGGCTAAGACATTTTTAATCAGGACAGAGTAGTTAGTCTGCTTGCATGCCTATGTGTCAGAATGGTCCAGTCAAAGTCCACATCTAAACCCAATTGAACATCTGAGTATAGATTTAAAAATATATATTCATAGATGCTTTCCATACAATATGGGTTTCACTTATCCTAGATCCAAAACTGGCTCTAAATAAAAAAGAAACATGCCACACTTTTCAGATGTTATTTTGTTAAAATATGTTCAGACTGGTATATAATTTTTCTTGTAACATCACATTTACATTTAGACTTTGTCACATAAGGATCTAATAAAATATTCTGGAGTTTGTGACAAAACATGAGAAAGCTCATGTTGACGTCTCCTGTAACAAAGCTGAAGGTTGAAAAAATATCACATATCTGCATATTCTCAGTGTTCTGGTCATCATCGAAGTTGCGTCTAAATTTAGAGCGTTTTGAATAAACACAGCAGCCTGCATGTGGAAGCAAAAAGGTGTACGGGACAAACAACAGGGCTCAGGGCTGAAGGGAGTTTAGAGCGGGGCGAGTCCCGTTCACTGCAGGGCGGAGTTTGGACGCTTGCATAGAAGCGTAGGATCTGATGGACGAGGGCCGCGAGCCGTGCTTCTTTGGCTCCTAAATAAAGGGAACTGCGTCATGGAAATTTTACTGCTCCGCTTCAATTTCTGCGGTGAGAACTCGTCTCTGACAGAGAGCGGAAACTAACTTCATAAAAGATGAAGACGGCTTACGATTCCAGGGGAGGAGAGGCTCAGAACCCGGGCGGCTCACACTCCTGCCTCTGAAGGCTAATCCGTTCTAACAATGACCTGAAGGAAACGCAATGTGAGCTCACCTGCGTCCGGTTCCACATCACAGAGGCCCTGGAGTGTCCCAGCTTGTTTCTGCAGGGGCCCTTATCATAATGCCTCAGGAAGATGTCCCCCTGCAGGGAAACACGGGACGTGAAGCACCAGTTAAAGAAGAAGTGTGTTCAGAACCACGCAAAGCTGTGCAGGAACTAGTTACACTTACAAATTTACATAAGTAGGTTTTTTTTAGGCAAAAATGCTCCTTTGACTACGCCGAACTGTTTACTTTTACTTGAGTAACTTTATTATAAAATATTGCTACTCTGATTTGAGTGAAACGTCTGGATTCTCCAACCACTGGAGTCACTTCACTGAAAGAGAAACAAACTCGTTTCAATCAAAAATTCTCCAGACACAAACACACCTGCAGTTCATGCCAAGTTTCATAAGTTTTATATTGAAATAAATTTGATTTGGAGAAATGTTTCTTTTTCCTGTCATTGTTATTTTGCAATTCTATCATTTATATGAATTGTATTCATTTTAATACCAAAGAAGGATTGAAATATTAAATGATTCATGTGTTTGTCAGTTAGCACTTGAGTTTCCTTTTTACCAAATACTTTTTTAGTTTTACTTGAATAAAAACACGTTGCAGTAGCGCTCCTCTTACTCGGGCACAATCTCTGGTACCATGTCAGCAATTGTTTTGTGTGTGCGTGTGTGTGTGTGTGTGTGTCTGTGCGTGTGTGTGTCTGTGTGTCTGTGTGTGTGTGTGTGTGTGGCCACTCACGTCCAGGTTCTGCAGGCAGTACCAGCAGAAGGTGTGTTTGCAGCTCTTGCAGAGCATCTGTGCACAGCCCTGGTTCCTCTCGATGTAAACGGCACACATGGGGCACTGCTTGATGGACTCGTCCGGGTCGCTGCGCAGAACCAGGCGGCGACAGGCACGCGGATAACCGTTATTGTCATAATTAATCAATTAATTGCATAACAACAACAACAAAAGGCAAAATCTGCATATTTTATATTTAGCCACTAAAGTTGTTTTCATTTTTAAAAATACATTTGATGATGCAAGGGAAAATAATAATAATAATTGGACTCCTTTTTAAAATAAAAACTGAATTTTGTTGCCTGATGTGCAGCAGCAGCAGCATTCGTTCAGTGAATGCTAAAAAAAACTTCTAAGATCAAAATGTGAAAATATCAGGACTTTCTGCTGGACTGAACATCAACACAGCGTGTTTTTGATCTGCTGATTAGCAAAAGTTGAAGAATAATATTTTTTTGTTTGTTTGTTTTTTTTACAGAATTTGAACTGGGTGAAGCTAAAACGACCACTGGAATTTTATGTGGAACATGATTACATCAAAAGATTTGTTTTAAATCTTCGATATAAAATGGATGTTTTTTTTTAAACACTTTGGCTTAATTATCACTCTATGTTGTTCTTTCAGAAAATTCCCTTTTTTTTGAGTCTGCATTCTCCAGTTAACGATTAATTGATCACTAAATCAGTTCACAATAATTCCGATAATCGGTTCGCTACGATTAATCGGTATTCTGTTTTCGGGAACATGGGGCTTCTTCTTCTTCTGCACTCCCTCGACCCACAGAATTAACTTTTGAAATCTGGATTCCCGGAGGAGTTGAGACTCGCTCTGATCGTTCAGGACAGCAGCAGAATCAGGGAAGGACTTTCAGAGTTCTGCCGGGTCGGCCGTTGTTCTGATTACTGTGGATGTTGAAGTTAAAGAGGAAGAAACCTGAGCAGTAGAGCTGTAAAGATACGGGGTATAAAAGAAAACAAAGACGAGGGGAGGCGGGGGTGGGGGAGGAAGAAACACATGCAGGGGGAATCTCTGGAGTATTTTAAAAAATGTAGGAGTTTTACAACAAAGCTTCCAAGTGACGTATGGTATTGTTGAGCTAAACTCTTTGGGGGAATTTCCTTCACTTTCTTTTTCTTCCTCAGCACTCGGCCTTCACTGTGGCCTCTAACTAACGCACCCTGTGCCCTCCAGCCCTCCTCATCCTCATCCTCCTCCCTTTGGCACAGAGACAATGAAATTCCAGTTTAACTCAGCGGCTCCCTGATGACATCAGTCAGGCTGGCACAGCGACAGCAAGGCAGATTATGCAGCTGTGCACCAGCACACTGAAGGAATACCAAGCTATTAATGCTGAGATAATAGATTTATTCATCACTGGTCCCATCCCTGTCCTCAAGAAAACACAAATGATCTTTTTAACACTTTCAGTGTGCTGGATATAGCAGTCAGGATTAGCATTGATTTTGCATATAAATGCCAACACACTCTTCACTTTTCCAATTTTTATTCATATTTTTATTTTTCATAATCATGTAACCCCCTCACCCATAAAAACAATGCATATACACAAAGTCTTGCCAATTATTTTGATCTAGTTTCTAGTGCAAATGTCTCAGTACATTTGAAATGAGACAAAACAAACTTTCAAGTGACTTTTCAGAAATACACAGGAGCTTTTATTAAGTGAATAATTCTTGCGTGTGGGTAAAATAGCACTAAATCATTGGCAGATTATTTCACTTAGAACATTTTCTCATGCTATAAATAATCTGGCTGTGGAACTAGACTAAGAATTCTTGATCTAAATCAATCTCTTACGGTTTGCTGGAAAGTTACCTGTATGTTGGTTTTGTCTTATTTCCAGTATACTGATATATTTGCACTAGAACTAGATAAAAAAAATATTCAGTAAGATTTTGTGTTTTTTGGACAAAATCTTTTTTGCTAATGAATGTTGCAATTTTTTTCCTATTAATAATATTAATATCTGTGTTTTGGTTTGTCCCCTTTCAATGTTCTTTGTTAAAAACGTTACATACTTAACAGATGTTCTTGTTGCTATCCCAGAGACGTAGTTTATGTGTGCTAAACACATTTTCAGTGAATGTTTCTTTCCTTATTAAAAAGAAAATAGAAATAGAAATCTAAAAATCTATGCGGAATGATTTAAAGCTCAGTCACTGAGAGCATTAAGAACATCATTTATTTGTCAAAATATTTGGGCCAGGAACCAGATTAAAAATAATTACTTGTGTTTTTGCAGCAAACACTTTAAAGTACAGTATGTGATTGCAACATGACGAAATGTGAGAAAGTTTAAAGGACGGAAAAACTTTGGCAAGGTGCTGGGACGTTTTGAAGCTTCTCCTATTAGCAGCTTAAACCAAACCAAGTGACTGACCTGCTTTCAGAAGACAGTGGGGGTAACATCATGGCCTGGCCCTCGGGGCAGGTGTGGCCCTCCAGCCAGGGGCCCCTGCAGCTTGAGCAGAAGACAGTGTGACAGGCGGGGCAGGCCACGGCGGCGGGCCGGCCCTCGGTGCTGGACTGCACATGGCACACCGCCTGACAGTCAAGCACAGGGCACCACGCTTTGCTGGGGTCCAACTTCACACCTGCAGAGCCGCAGAGACAGGAACATGTCGTGCATGATACACAGAATCCAAATATCCTTGAACATTTTCATCCCTTTTCTTGTTTCCAAACAGAAGAACTCAGTTACAGGACAAGCTGCCGCTGTATTTTCTGAATAAATGCAGAACACAGGAAAAACATGCAGAAATCTGGAAACTGCAAAGAAAGAAACAAAAATCTAAAATAAGAATCACTGAGACTAATATCTGCAGCTGACCTGGCTGCATTCAAATGAACATATTTGCTGGGTTCTGTTAGGTTTGACGTGTTTAACCTGCGAATGACGCCAACACATTCTTTTACAACAACAAAGGGATTTGATCATCCTGTCCAGACAACACTAAAACATTCCCAAAATGAACCAAAGGATCTTTAAAGGGTGAATAATCTGTTTTTAATCCCCATCGGGTCAAATTTGAAGCCTCTGCTCATGTGAAGCTGCAGATTTAAAGCTGATGGTGAACAAACAGCAACGCTGGACTTTGCTTTCAGTTGTATTCTGTAATCTGTGAGGATTATGCCAGCGTGAATAAATACTCCTGTTACATCCTTTTGATTGCTTTGCAATTACAAGTAACAATGGATAAACAAAGCTTCAGTTTAGCAGCTCCTGTTTAATACAATGATGCTTTGGAGCTACGTTAACACATTAGCATTCCCATGCTAGCAGCTGAGCAGTTCCCCCACAATGCATTTTTCTTTTTAGCTGATGTATGAAGTGATCAAACGGGCTTAGACCAAGAGAAATAAACTCGAATCAATTTATCAATTTATTAATGAACGTATCAATTTATTAATGAACGTTTCTGTCAAAGCGCCAGAGTGAGCTGAGACGCTATTTTTCAGCTGTTGTCTCTGGACAAAGAGGATTTTGTTTTTCAAAAATCCAAAGTTCAGACAAAAGAAGTTCATGGTCACGTCCTCTTTTAATCCGAATCTGGATGATCTTTCTATAAAGTATATGTATATCTTCCTATATGTATATGTAAAAGTACCTTTGACCTGATCCATGCGAAAACAAAAAAAATTGTGTCCAAATCTTGTTTAGTTTCTTCTGTTTGGTCATTTAAAAACTTTTTGTCCAGATATAGCAGCTTATTTTAAGTAAACAATTCTTAAATTGATGAGTACTCGTTCCACTGGCAGAATTATCATTTTTTTGTCCATGTTATCAATGCAGAAAGTGTACTTTGATGTTTGCACTAGAAGACAAAAACACTTTGTAAGACGGGTTCTCATCAAGAACACATTTATGTATTCATTTTTCTTATTGGTCCGATGTAATATTTTAGTTCGTAAAGTGACTTTTTCATTACTTGTAAGTAGAAAAATCATAATAATTAACAGAAATAAAGGCAAACATCCATCTGTGTGTAAGTACGCTATATAACGCGTTTAATGATGAAATGTGTGAAGGAAATTGGGATTTTCAATAATATCTTAGTTGAAGTATTTTTCAGGCTTTTGGGAACTTTTGGGAACTCCGGAACAACACGTTATGTTTTATAATAGTTGTGTTTCTTTCACCACATGGAGCAGTGTATCTGGAAGAAATGGCAAAATAATGAAAGAGAATAAAAATAATGCTAACATTCTTAAAGATGTTGGGCTAAAAACACTTAGCTCATTATCAGTGTTACAATATTCAATATTACAATAAAAGTGCAGCTATAAGACGAGACGTAAGAAGCAAAACTGGAGGAAAGAGAGAACAAAACAAAATCACATTATTCTTTTGAAAATAATTTAAGAAGAAAACAATGTAAGTACATGTGCATTAAAAAAATGCAATGAAAATATTTGAGCGCCAGTTTGTACTTTCACTATGAATCATAATGAAGGGAGTCGTTGCAGCCAAGCAGCAGAGCAGCCAGTACTTTGATCTTTGTTTCACTTCCAATAATTCGAGCCTCATGACCCGCAGCAAGAGTAAACAATGCCAGTGATTGGCTCCACAGCGTACAGTCACCGTACAGCTGGGAAGGAGCAACATGCACCTGCATGACAAACTGGTCTTTCCATGCAAATCAGAAGAGTCAGCAGAAAGTTATGTGAACGGTCTCACTTCTCAAAGAAGTTCACAGAATGCGCTAAGTTATTATAATTTTTTTGGTTGTTTATACAAAACTGCACAAAGATGAAATGTGAAAATGACTGCATGCTTATGTTCTGGCATTTCAGTGCAACTCAGGGTAATGCAGTTATTTCTTAAATAAATAAATAAAAAAAAGAAAAAGAAAACAGAACAGCACACTGTGCAGTAATAATAATGTGGTTTTAATGTTACTTTGGGTTTCATCCGGGATGACAGTACTCACCTCTCTCAAACTTCAGCCGCTGGTACAGCTCCGCCTGATATGGAGCTGCTAAACTGGCAATCTGCAATCACAGAGACAGAGAGAGAGAGAGAGCGACCCGATCAACACACAGGTGTTCAGTTCCTGATGTTTTTCACATCCATTCTGTGTTGATCTGCATTTGCCACTAAATGCATTTTGTATGAACTTGTTCTGTGTTTTCTTCCATGATGTTATAATGGTCATCACATATGAATATGCTACTTGTTGCTCCGTTGTTTTTTCTCTCTCTTTCTCCAACAGATTTCTACAAACTAATCTTCCCTCTCTTGTTTCCATCCTCTCCTCTAATCTGCTCTAATCTCCTTTCCCTGGAAACCTTTTCCCCACCTTTACATTTAAAATAAACCCAAAACAACTTCTAATAAATACCATATAAGATATGTTATGTTGTGACGTTGCAAAAACAAGATCCTGCTCCCCCAACAATGACTGGCATTGGTTTTAGCTGGCAAGTTGCAACATGCTAATGTATGCATGATAACATATAAAAGGGAGGGAGTGCTTTGCTAATACTTGTCAACACTACAGCAACAAGGTCTGATGATGTCACATTTTACAGATCAGGAAAAAGTTTTAATTTAAAAGAAAATTGTTGCAAGGGACCGGGTAGTTGGTCAGTTATGCTAGCTTGACTATGACAACCTTAGCATTATCTGTGTTTTGGTTTAGTTGAAAAAAAACACACCAACTCTGATGATCATCAGTGGAGCAGGTGTTTAAATGAGCTCGATAAATATCTGTAACTCTTCACCTGTGAAAGTGAATAAGTTGGCCCTCAACAATTCTGAGAGCCACATAAGAGATGTTTAATAAAAAAGAAAAGAAAAAACTATTCCACGATTGTGTTCAACAACAGCAATAAGCACTGCACAAATTAGCATAGTTTATTTCCCCAATTTGTAAAGGTAATAAAAGAATTAAATCATTTTGACAACTAAAGAAAAAATACTGAAAGCTAAAGTGATGTGTTTTTTTGTTGTTGTTGTTTTGGAAGACTGTTTTTAAGCAGTAGCTTGTGAGTCAGTCTGTTTCAACATCTCTTTTTCTGGAGCAACACTTTCATGCTTTCATCTAGAATGTGGTCCATTCCGCACTTTAACGTTGCCACTGAAACATACAACAGTTCACTTTGTAATATCATTAAAGCAAAAATATTGTCACCTTAGTAAAATATTGGCCCAAGTTACTTTTTGTCAAAAGTGATTTTCTTGCCTAAATGCTATTTTGATAAGAAAGAGGTGGTGAAAATATATTTATATATTCATTTTACCATATATTTTGTAAAAAAAATTAAAAATATATTTAGCATATATTTTGAAAAAAATATATGGTAAAATGTAGCAACTTCTTGTTTCTTAAGTGAGGTTGCAAGACAACAAACCTGGAAAGGTTCTGTGATTAAAACAGGAAAGAAAAACCCCAAACCAAAAATGATGACTGCCTGGTTTTTACAGACAAACATGTTTTGTATGCAATACAATTATGTAAGATGGTAGAAATAAATGCATCCATCCCACATTTAAATGAATAACATATGTTAAGCGTAGCATACTTCCTGGTTAGGGGAAGCAAATTTCAAGGGACCCCCGATCCCACCCCGCACAGCCGTCTTTGTGGCACAACTGTTTGGTTTTTCATGTGAGACATTTTCAGTTTATAGGACATACCTCTGAGTCGAGCAGGGCTCCGGTTTTTGGACAGGCCATATCTGGACAGGTGATTGGAGCGCCCCCACCCTCCATTACGGCCAACTGGACGTACTGTTGCAAACACTGGAGGGGCAGGGAATGCAGCAAAGTGAGATTGGTTACATTTCGGCGCACCAATTGCAGTTTTCTGACAGAACACTGATCTTTAAAAAACCTGACATGCTGATTTTGACTTTGGTCAATGACTATTTATTGATTTTTTTTGTCTAAAAAGTCGCTAAATATAGCAACAACGACCCTGTTTAAAACAACGGCCATCCATTGAACGTCGTTTCTGTTAACACATTTACGCAGAAACAGTAGATGTGAAAATTGTGTAATTCTCTCACCATGCCACAAGTTGGCGCTATGGCCTTCACAAACTCTCTGCCTGAAAGCCACCAAAACTAATAAACGTTCAAGATGGCAGAGAATCTGTTTCTATGGACAGACAACTTGGTTCAACTGTTTCCTAATGTGACCGAGTTGGAAAGCCACCAAATTTTGAGCCATTGTTGATATTTTCTTCTTCTGTGGTTTTTTAAAATCATGGGCAGCCGCTATGTGTTTATCGTCTGATTCCAGTCAGTCTGCACATGGTCCAGGGATTCCCCAAAATAAAAAAATATATATATATTTTTTTTTTACACGAGTACAAAACGTTTTCAAAGCACCGCACTCTGAAACCTGTTATCACATTGCAGCATTGTCACAGAAAACATTTGTCATCGTCATGTGAATGACGAATGATACAAATAGGGTTTCTATAGGTTTCGCCAAGTCAAATTTAAGACCATTTCAGACCATTATGAATGGGATTTAAGACCTGTACCTCCACATCGCCTGTCATTGGACGCAGAGATAAATTTGCACCCATGACAGACGCAAAAAGATACCTTCCCAGCCAGCTAGCAAGCGCATGCTAGCGGTTAATAACCGATAGCCTCAACCGTAGACTTAATACATTTGTTGTGTTATTGTTTAATTATAATGTCTATGGCCTCAAACGTCTTGAGTCACAGACTGCAGTGCGGCTGTCTGAGTGCCACAACAACTTTTCCTGACAGAACACAAAATTCATATATACGAAATAAATAGTCAAGACAAAATTAAAGACCTGTGATTATCATTTCAAAGGCCAACTTACTTAAACATTAGTTTAAGAGATCCTAAGGCCTTAATTTTAGATGAATGAATTTAAGATTTTTTTAAGAACCAGAAAATGTGTAAAAAGGACCAAAGTCACTAAGATGGGGTGACCGGTGTTGACGTGACATGGTGGGCGGGTCTGTCGGCAGAGCAAAACAGGACAGTGGCTGATTTTCAGACCTTTGCCAAAGTAGATAAGATTGATGGATAACATTCGTTTCACATGTCCAAAATGATCAAATCTGGGCCAGTTTATTGGTGCACCCCAAGTCTTATGCACCACAGAAGACTCACAGATGCCTTTTGAAAACCAAAAAAGTCATTATTGCATCAAAATAAAATAACAGCACATTATGTGGAAATACAAAGAAAGCAGGCAAGGAAATGAAGTGTTGTGAAACCAGGGCAGTTTATAAGTCTGACAGAGGCTTTTTTAGAGTCCACATGTCAAAAGTCACATGTTGCCTCAACTGTGAATTCGAGAAAGGAAGGAGGAACTACACAAAGATTGCACAAATACAAACCAGTTTGAGGAACAGAAGAAGAAGGCAAAATAGCCACTTGAGTATTACATTTCTGTGGAAGAAGACAAATAAAAAGCCTGAGTGGAAGTTAGAAATAAGTTGCTAAACGGGGTGGGACCAACGCGAGCGTCTTGCCATCTGACAGCAGAAGGCTCAAGGTATTTGTGATTTACACAACAGAGATGATCTGAATGCACTGGCTCCATTTCATTTTTCTTCCTTCTTTAAACAACGCCACATGTGGGCGATGTTTTGGTTTCTGTGACCTTGTGCGTCCGAAGCCGGGGAGCCGGGGAAGAGATTAGCACCTGCTTCCCTCTGATGGGAATCCACTCCGTTAGGAACAGATGGGACGCCAACGTCTGGCCTCCGCTCATAAATACTACAGCTCTGTCTTCTAAAGATAGCGCTACCGATTTCATGAGTGTGAAAGCGAAACTCTGCCGATGACTGGGAGCCGGTGAACATACGCCAAATCAGCAGCTGGGAGAGATCTGAAAAATTCCACCGACGATTTAAATGGAGCCAGTGCCTTCGTCTCACCAAAATGGAAACGTCTGATATGTGCCAATAAATGCCTCTATTTTAGGGAGGCGTTTAAATAAAAATAATCAGGGAGTGCGTTTGTTTTGGATCGCTTTTGGAACACCGTCGCTGCCAACACTGCAGCAAAACAAGAGCGTTCCGAAGTTGTGTTCAGTAATAACACCCTGTTCTATTTACGGTGCTCTTCAGGAGTTTACGCGCACTCACTGCTGAGGCCAGAAGTTTACATACGCCAAATAAAAAGACACACAAACAAGTCGGTTAACCTGTCAGACGTTTCTAAAGCCGTGACATAATCTTTGGGGCTTCTCCTTGTCGTTTAAGGAGATAGAAATCGTTGTGGATGCAAACGTCTGACTTTAAAGAAATAAATGTCTGACATATCATTTCTCTCATTGTGAGATATTGAGCAAATAATTTAGATAATAGGATCTGATCTAAAACAAGAGAGATTTGGTCTAATTCAATTTCAGAGAATGAGGAAAAAAGGTAAACGTGTCACTTTATAGGGTGAATGTGAACTTCTGGTTTCTACTGTATAAGCAGTGATGTCAAATTCATTTGTGATTCTTTAGTGATGCATTTAAACAGTTCTGCGTCAAGGTGAACTGATAAGAAAACACACAGCTTCAGTGACGATAAACACAGTAAACGAAGGTGTGGGTCAGGTTAGGAACTTAATGTGTAACCTGCTTCCTCTATTCCAAAACCAGTTTTATTGTGTCCGGTACACAACTGTGTTAAAGCCTCAAACTCAGTTCCACTGCATGGATTATGTTGAAAGTTAAAGGAACTTCAAATGAACTCCAGCTTTTTTCAGAAGAAGAGTGTTTTGGATGTGCTGCCTTGAATGTGCTGGAAGATTGTTATTGGCCACAGTCTGTGGTTTCACAGGAACTTAAAGCTGCAGTATGTAACTTTTACGAAACTAAGTTTTTTTTTCCATATTTGTTGAAACCGACACCGTGTCGTGACGGTATGTTATGGGCAGATAATCTGTGAATAGATCAATCTTCTGCACCTCCTCCCTGAGCTGCCGTCTGAAGAAACACACCAATCCTGACCAAAAACAACCAATCAGGGACAGGAGGAGGGTCTTAGTGCTGTCAATCAAAGTCTGACATGCGCTGCTAAATGTGCTGATGGCGGAGAAACAACCTACCATTGCTTTTTAGTTTTATCCTTGTGTGAATTCTGGAAAATCCACAATACATTCAAGCAAGTGCACCGGATTCTCTTTTCAAACTAAGAGAAGTTGGTTCAAATGCATCATTAAAGAAGCCAAGCCAATATGGCAATTATTAAAAATGTTTGTAAACTTCTGGCCAGAAGCTTATGTGCCGTGAATCCCAGAATCCCTTCCTCAGATCAGCATCTGGCCTGAAGTCGGACATGTCATCACCGCTGCTTACCGCTGTGCAGAACATGCACCTACAGCCCTCCAGCTCGCTGATGGCTGCGAGCGGCTGCAGGCTGAGACACAGCTTGCAGAACACATCCTGGCCACTCGGGGCACCGGCAGCAACCATCACTGGTGACGGATCCCTGGCTTCCAGGTGGATGGAGGGATTTCTGCTGGCCATGGTGGGAGGAGGCAGGGTGACTCTAGGCCTTCCGCTGGCCTTGATGATGATGATGATGATCTACGGTCGCCATGAACCTGGAAGCAGAAATGAAACAGATTTATTCCTCTTCGGACTGACTCTGGAAAGTCTAGCAGCTCTGATGGTTTTCCATGTGTCTGCATTATCACCTTTCCCAATGTATGATGTCATCTTTCAGACCCGAGGTCTGTTTAGCAATCCTAAAGTTGTTAGGCATCAGTTCAATCATTCTGAGTGTAAGAATTAATCATATGTTGTGTCATCTATACTGTTTCTTGTCCAAGAAACAGTTAAAAATACAGTTTAAGAGTACAGATCAACATTATGTTTTTTGTATCACAGTCGAGGTTCTGTTTTCTAAATTCTGTGATTTTTTTTTTCTTTTCAGTGAACTTTAGTTAAGAAGAGTTCACAAGTCATTTTGACCAAGTCCAAGTCAAGCAAGTAGGTGAAGTCAACGACTGAAACTAACATTTTCTCATCAAATCCCCAACATCAACCCAGGTCACCTGACCGCTAAGCCTTTATCGCTGTAGGTTTGGTTTCCAGTTCAGTATTTTCATAATCACCTTTCAGTCTAATATATTTATTAAGTTACGTTTCAAATGTATGTTTAATATTTAGTTCACCAACCAACAAGCTGTTGAAAGCCAATTTATTTTATTTAGAAAATTGTTCATCTAATATTAACCCCATTAGAAATATAAATAGACATTAATGTTGCAAAAATAATAAATGTAAGTGATAAAGCAGTTAAAATTTTATTGACAAATGAATCAAACAATATGTCTTTATAATCACTAAATTAACAACTTTTTATCCTCATCTTCATTTTGTCCACTTATTGATATATTGCACTAAATGTTGTATTTTTTGATGATATTGGAAACGATTTTCTAAATCCAACTTGTTCCCAACCATAACTGATAATGTTCAAATTTAAGATATAAATGACAACATAATGAACGAAGCTAACGGCTGTAAGTGAAGAGCAACATTAACAATAACATTTAAAAATATACACAAAACATAGGAAGTTGACTCAAGTAACACTGAACACCATCACGTTTGTCCAAAATATACTGTAAAATATAAAAACCCACAGAGCTTATTCTAATACATACCACAGTTACAGACGTCAACAAAAACAAGGAGTGAGTTGTTTAGTTACCGGTTACTACGGTAACCACCCACTGCAAAGAGCAGCATGACAACTTAAAACGCCAATAAAGAAACAGATCAAAAAAAATAAAGTCAAAGAACCAAAATAAACCAAAATAAACTCACTTTGGCAAACTTCACATTTACAACATTGTTGCATTGAAACTCTGTTCCACGTTTTTTTTGTAGACAAAAACGTAATGGCGTCACATCGCCGCGTGCCTGCGGGGCGGGCAACAAAAGATCTGGTTCGTTAAAAATCGTTATGAATAATAATAACGTTTAAATATGCGTGAAGCTTAATATTAGTGAAGCAATACAAAACCTTGCCATGAAGACCTTGATCTTACCAAAAGGCATTTCCATTATTTAGCAGAAAAATCAGTAAGTTCTTGAATAATGATTTGTATAAGTTCTTACAAATCATTATTTAAGAAATTACAGATTTTGTCTTTCTTCAGCTCTTAAGAGAATCAAGAAAATGGCTGCTGAAGCTCTGTCCCCGTCACCAGACGGTTCTGTTCGTAGCTTCTGTACTGTGTGTCTTTTTAAGTGAGAGGCTTTTTAAAAGGCCCTTGAATATAGGAAGTGGTTGATGCAGTGCAATGCTTCCAAACTCGTTGTGTACGTGTTGCCGGCGGTGCAGGGTTGAGCGGTGTAATGTGGGCCATTCTGGCCACAGACCTCCGTGAGGACAGCTGGGGACATTCAATAAGAAAAGATCATCACAAGCAAAACCTAAAACAGTCCTGTGCAAATGCTGACGAGTTCCAGATATTTGAAGCCTGTAACTTTTTTTGTGGGGTGTTTTTTATATTGCCATAACAGGCTGACCTGGCCTGTATTTGAGGTTTCACAGTTTACAGCGTAGGTACGAAGCAGATCAGGTGAAACGTTGAGCTAAAAGCCCAAATAGCTGAAAAGACGAGCTGTCCAATCTCATTGATCTTTGCTCCAAACAGCTGGGTGCCTATTTGCATCTGACACGGGGAATGAAATCTACCCTTGGGGCAAAACCGGGCCCATTTATGTGTGACCTAATTATGTGGTTATTATTTGCCTCTCAAGTCTGAACATGGATCTGGGAATAGCATCAAACCTAACTTAATCACCCTTGGAAAATCAGTAGGGTTTGGCAAATGTTCCACTCCGTGACCAGGCTAACTACTATTAGCAGTACAAGTGACGCCTTTATCATTTTACATGTTCACAAATAGAAATAATGGCACACAAGTTGACAAAGTACAGAAACATAAACTGAATTCAGCCCATGATGGATTTTGGGGTTAAGGTTAGTGAGGAAAATCCATTTGTCCCTGTTGGAATTCTCATTTCAGAGAACTTTCCAAGCTGGGACCTTGAAGTATAAATTGTGATTTAAAATGTCTTGACCAAATGGTGGTCGTTGTACACCTTATTGTCTAAAAGAACAGAAACTTTCTGCAAAAAGTTTGAGATCCAAGCTCTCTCTTTCTCCGTGAACCAGCTCAGTCGAGTGTAGGTGCAATTTGGACGTGTGCGCCCTTCTCACCAGCTAGGAGAACTGCAGAGCAGCATGTCTTGCTTGTGCAAGTTGCCGAAAAGCTTTCAATCTCAACCAAACTCTCATGCACTACAGGTTGACACACCTGAGTCTATGTCTTTATAGATAAGCCAACATATTGGACGTGTGGTTGCTAGCATGTGAAATGTACACTGCAAATAGCTTGACTGGAAACGGTTTTAGCCACTCCGTTTGCAACGCTTTAATCAGTGTACTACAGAATGAAGGGTAGAATAAGTTTCTTATTACACTCCAGGCATAAGTACCCAACAATGGCCATATAAACAGTTTTTACCTCATAAAGGATTCTAAACGTCATACAGAATAATTTTTTTCTTGGTAAGAAAAACAGATCTTTTGTTAATAGTTGACAGGGGCCAAGATAAGTCTATCTTGGATGATAGATCTGAAACCATCTCCAGAGGACACAGCCCCACCCACACAGTCCCATCCTGTGTGGGCCCTACAATCACTCCTCTGTTATGAAAAAAAAAAAAAAAACATGAGCAATAATGCCGTAATCTGGGATTTGCACTTAATCCCGAGGAGGACTGCGAGTTGGACGCAGAACAGGGTCACACAGGAAGCTGCTGTGTTGAAAACAAACTGCAGGCCGAGCGGCTGTTGAAATCACAAACTGCCTCAAACACGCTGTGAAAGTTGGCAAGAAACTTCTGCAGCAGTTCGACCACTGCAGCCACTTTTTAGGCTGAACGCTCTGTTATTATTATTATTATTATGGGTTATTATCGGTCTGAAATTGCTTCACATGCGGAACTGCACCTTTTCTGCCCAGTCACGTTTTAATTTCCTCCCTTGGGGACCAGCTGAGGCGTCTGATCCTCACCCCACAAAGTCTGCTAGCTTGTCCCATCCTGCCTGGGCCCTACAACCAACTCTGTGGTCTCACGCTGGAAAATAACAGCCTTCATTCACTTTGCCTCCCTCCATGGAAACTCCCCTTATGTCATTATTAATACAGTGGAGCTTTTGTTCAGGAGAAACTTCACAGTTGAACTTGAGATAACATCGGTGGGCAATCTGTCAATAGGGCAGAGCAGTTTCGGTGAAGCAAACCGAAGCTGGTTTTTAAAGGACCTGCGACTGCAGAATGCAACCGTATTTTAATGCAACAATGCACTCAGATGGATAATGCTGGACGGGTTTCCATCCAGATGTCTGCAGAAAGGGTAAAACTTTGGATTTCGGCCTGGAGGCCTTCAGAAATCTGATTGCACCCGGCCCCTCCGTCTGCAAACATTCCAGCTCACACCCCTGCTACAGAATGTCTTGCATCGGCACAGCCTTGTGTGCAAACTGGGGTTTCTTCTGTTTGTCTGAAATAAGGATTAGTTATCAGTCGGATGAGGGTCTGGATGAGAAGGCTACACAAGCTGGAGGAGGTGACGGGAGCTTGGGGGCCATCGAAGCATCATTGTTAAAGCAGGGGATGGAAACCAGATCAGCCTGGTGAGACGCTGCTGCTGCTGCTTTTGCACAAACAGCCACTGTGCTGCAGCAGGAGGCAGCTGGGTGTGTGTGTGTGTGTAGCAGAAATCATATGGCATCACTTTCACTGCTGTGTTCACACACGTCTGTGTAATTCAGACCTAATAATTTGAATGTTTATTCACTTTGAGAGAAACTGAAACACGATCACAGAACACTGCATAATTCTGACTTACTGAAGGAGGAAATGAAAGTGAAAATAAATTAGCATCAATCGTGTCCGCCACCTTGTATTTATAGCCACATGTATTTGACTAATATCGTCACAAAAAAAGGGTTGGGGGGGGGAGATCTGTATATATTTGCGAATCTATACTAAAGACATCTGCGTTTTTGAAGCTCGCGCTTTAACACAGATCAAAACCACCAGATCTGATTTTTTTATTATTTTTTTTTTTTACATATATTACTCTAGTAGCTGGAAATGCGTTAAAGGAAGACTTACCTTGCCTAAGGTGTGGGAGCAGCTTCCAGATCCGCAGCAGACGCAGCAGCAGTAGCGGCAGCGGCAGTAGCGGCGCTCTCAGAGGAACATATGTTGACAAAAAGAGTCTGCCTCTGTCATAACCTACTGTTAGCCTGTAAAGCTTCCCGCCGCGGTCTTCCTCACTGAATTGGAGTTTGGTGGAAGTGGAAAAACATCGCAGCAACCGCGCGGCTCCCCCCGTCAGGACTGTGTCTCCGTGCGGGAGCTCTGCCTCCGCGGTCTGAGCCCATCCAGGAAGCTCCGCTCGCTCTCCGCTGAGCTCGACTCACGACTCCCCCTGCTGGTTGACTCGCTCGACTCATGCTGCTTTCAAGTACGGCCCTGAAAATTCAGACACGACGCATGACGACCACCCCATTAAATGCGTTTAAAAGGGCAGTTTTGTGTTAAAATCCTTTATATATGTCCTGCAATTTCCAAAATCAAATCTGAAGTAAAGTTTGGCTAAAAATGGTTTGCGTGAAAACAATAGCAAAATGAGGACTACTTCCAATCCTGGGGTGGTTTATGTGTAAGGGAGGACTTTTTTTTTTTTTTAACGTACTCTACCAAGTTGGTCCTTATTCAATCTATCAGTGACATTTATTATGACTTTTATGCAGATGATATTTAATTGTGTTTGTCTCTTCAGTCCCATCAAGTTGCCAGGCTGTTCATATTGTCCTTTATTGTTTGTAGTAGGTCACTAACTGACTTTCCAGAAATTACCTCATTTTGAACATCAAAAAAGACTGAGACTATGATCATAGCCCTAAACTATAAACAACCTCAGTCAGGCTCTTGCTTTCTTTTTCTTTTCTTTTTTTTTTTTTATCAACTAAATCCGGCATTTGCAATCTGAGTACATAATCCGTGTTTTTCTTGAGCTTTGACTCACATGTAAAATCTCTGTGACGTTCCTGTTACTTTCATTTCAGGAACATTTCTAAACTGCGTCACATGGTTTTGTCAGCTGAATGGGAAAGAAAATTAAATGCATTTGTGTCATCGCATTCAGACTATTGCAATGTCCTGTTTACTGGTTTGAATAAATTATATATTTCATACGTCCAAGAAACACAGAAATGCCAGACTACTGACGTGTTTCCAGCAGGCGACCCCACATAACCCCTATTCTATACTTTATGCATTGGCTGCCAAGAGATTTAAGGATTCGTTTTAACGAGGATATGTAACTTCTTGGTAGAACTAGGACAACTCTTTTGGAGTGTGATGTTGTAGAGATTCTGCAGAAAAACACTCATGAAGAGTGAAATAAAATATATGCTTGAATACATACAGCGCTGCTGAACCTTCATGATCCAGTTTGGCTTCTCGTTCTTTGTTGGTAGAAAAAGCTGACAAAGTGTGGTTTTGTACAGATTACCACCAAGTTAATGCTCTTACCAAGCCGCATGCTTTTCCTCTACCTCTCATCGCAGTTGACAAAACGGCCTGTGCTCAATTTCTAACCGAGTGGGTCGTTATGGGGTGCAATAGCTCCTCCTCGAAAATCCACAGCACTTTCATAGAACCCCAAAGAAAATATTAAATGATTTTCTTTTTAATCTAAGTTAATATTCTTTAAAATGTGGTTGTTGTGATATTTTCCTTGCTGAATACAATTGATTAAAAGAAAACAACCAATGATTATTTACTGAGTACAAAAAAATAAAATAAAAAATCCCATCTTGCAACAGGGAATGAACTTGTATGCCTACTTTCACTTCCGGAAAACGTCTGAAAGGTGCCCATAATGCAAAAATAGATCGTTTTCTACAACCCAAATTTCCAGGGGGAAACTGTGGATAAAACTGATCACCACGCTGGCAGTATTCCAGATATTTAAAACAGAAAAACATTCAATAATTTTCTATATTGACTCTGCCGCATGAACAGGGTGGTGCCTTATCTGGATGGGGTGGTATACAGCAACATCTGCCATGTTGGTAGGAACCAGAAACTGTTTGACGGCCCAAGGAAACTGTCACCTACTTGGGGAAAGTAGCTAAACAAGGATGTGTGCAGCCAATTCAAACTAATGTTTTTTTGTTATGAACATTACATAGTATCAACAGACAAAAGGGAACTCATGAGTTTCCTGCCTGGTGGGTTACTACCGCAGTTTCTGTCCAAACTTCTCAATTTTAGTTGCTCCCTTCAGTCAATTTTGTTGTCAAGAGGCTTTTGAATACATTGAAACAATGTACTTATGTTGTCACTGCTGGTATGCTACCACAATATGATGGGAATGATGTTCAACATCCTGTGAGTTTCTTCTCCATGAAGTTTAACTTGCACAGCAATACAATTCGGTCATTAAAAATGAAGCATTGACTATTGTCCAGGCATTTCAACACACAAGAGCCATAATGGCGGAATGGCTTTTCAAGAGCTCCTTGCTCTTAGGGCGTGTCATCACTTTGTGACCACTGATCAAAACTCTCTTGCCCTACTCATTGCCTTAAAGTGTTTTCTCTAGATATAACACTAATAATAGTTGGCTTGTAGCTTACTTAGCGAGCATGGCAATTTCCAACACAGTATTTCCACGTTATAATGTCACAAGTATGAAGTTTGTAGTCTTAACTAGATTCTTAGTGGAATCCATTTCTTTAAGAGAGGGGTGGTGATGACTCCACCACTCAGGGTCTCTTTCTGTTTTGGTCTTGCAGGTTGGAACCTGGCAACAGAAGCACAAGTTTGTCCTGTGCTTCAAGCTGACGTCTCTGTTCACTGGGAGCCAAACAGCACAGAGTTTGATTTTTTTGTTATGTCTGTGTTTTTGCACCATATCCATTTCCACACATCCAGGCATTCTAAAATTACTGATAACTGTTCATTATTGGTCTATTTAAATAAATTTTTTTCTTAAAATATTACCGGCGCATGTTAATATTTTAACATAAATTTGTCAGAGTCCCTCAGTTTGTTGCAGTCCGTTAGTCAGGCGAGAGTGAAATGCCACAACGTTTAAAGGAGTTTTTTTGTGCTGTTGGCTCCACACAAACTATAAATGCTGGAGTGAGTGTGGGAGGAGAACCATTAGTGAATGATGGATATTTAAAAAAGGCCCTCCAAATAGGATATAACAATGACATGAGCCCAAATAAATAAATAAGTGATGTAACTACATGATACAAGTCTTTTCCTCTTTTAAATTATACCACACATTTGGAAGCAACTTAATCAGATGCGCTTACAAAGAATGGTCGAAAAACAGGAAATATCCAGTGGTTTGGACTTCCTTGGTCAAAATTACTGTTAATTTCAGGGGAGAAAATAACTGAAAGGTCATTTTCTCCCATGAAAATGACCTTTCAGCTCACCTAACTCCTCATCAAAACCAAAGCGTGGAAAGCTATTACTGAAGGGACAACTTGTCTGATTAATCAGTCAAGCGAGAGATGCAGAAGCTCAAACCGGTTGCCACTCTTCTCAGCAAAGAATGGAAACAGAGCCCTCAACAAATCGAAACAAAGTCCAATAATTCTTGATTTCTGCAGCAACATTCAAATCGTACGGGCAGAATTTGGTGTAAGCAACATGAAAGTGTGCATACATCCCTGCCTTGTATCTACAATGCATGGTGTTCGTGAGATGGTGTGCTGGAGACTAAATTACCAGTTACGTAAATCTCCCAATGGCTACCTCCAGCATTCGTTAAAGCAATTCCCTTTTCTTGTCTCCGACCACATCACACAACTTAAATGATCTAAAACTGGGCTTTTGAACATGACAATGAGCTCTGTTCCCCAATGACCTCCACAGTCACCAGATCTCGATCCAAAACAGCACCTTTAGGATGTGATGGAACGGTATATTGGCATGATGAATGTGCAGGTGACAAATACAAGATGTTGTCAAGTCAGCAGGAATCACTATGTTGTGGGAATATTTCTTAATCCTCTATAAATCTCTGCGATAAATGAAAGAGGAAGTTGTGAAAGATGAACGTGTGAGGTGCACAATTCTTCTAGGCGTACCCAATATAATGGCATTTTAGCATATGGTGTGTATAGCATGTTAAGGCAAAGGAGATTGCGCTAAAGAAAACAAAGTTCAACCAAGTCGTGTTGTTTGTGACACTGATCTTTCCCAGAAATGACAGCTTGAAGTGCAACCCCCAACACCACAACTTCCCCTTCAACTTTTATTCCCCAGTTCTGTGTGTCTGATACAAGAAACTGATTTTTGAAAAGTTCTTAACAACTTATTTCTACTGGAGCAATGGCATGATAGCAATAATAATAATAACAATAATAATATATTTTTTTGAAAAACATGCATTATGCAATTTTCTACAGGTTGTGGGTTAGATGGTGTGCTTTTTGTCATTCTGTGGTCTCAAAAAATGTGCAGGTTTGAAACTTGTATCAGACGAAAACAGCGCCAAGATGATATTTGCTCAAAGGTACAAAGAAAAATAAAACCGTGGCACATATTCATATTCAACATGTGCGACAACAAGAAGGTCTCGGACCTTATTCGGCCCCAATGCACACGTTTACAGCAGGAACTAATGACAAAGAGTATGACGCAATCTAAAGCGAGAGCTTCTCCTCAGTCCGCGCTGGGTTTTGTGTTGAAAAGCAGCTCGACTGTAAATCACCTGACGTAAACCGCAAGTCAGAGCGCGCATGCGCCGGGATTTTTCTCTATATAAGAAAACGGTCGCCGCTTTTAGGGATTATTTTTATCACAGCCGCCGGAGTCATGGGCAGCCCCAGCCAGCAGAACCCGAATCCCGCCACTGACAATCCGACTAAAATAATAGCAAGAGCACCGATAACTCAGGTGAGGTTTCGGCCGCGTCACGGACGCTTGATATGCCCTCCTTGGCACTGACAGCAAAAAAGTCAACGTTCTCGACTAAAATAGATGCGTTCCCAAAGTACTTTGGGAACGCGTCTATTTCTAAAAATGTAGTTTCTACCTATAACTTTAGAGCGATTTTCTTTGATGTTTTCCAGTGAAGTTAAGGGGGTTGGAGGGAGTGCGGGGAATCCCCGTCGCGCGACTTTAAGCTTAGGAGCGAGCACGAGACTTAAAAACTCGTCTGACTGCTTTTCCTTTGTTCCAAAGACCCGTATGTTACAAACTGATTTATTTATTTTGTTGCTCCCTGCTACAGGTTATGACATTTAAGGGGTTCAGCATGCAGAGACTCTTCCAGGTGATGCAGGCGGTGGCCAGGAGAAGCTGCAGCAAAGCCTGCCAGTTCTTCTGCCTTCCTGCTGTTGAAAGGAGGAAAGGTTCCCCAGGTAAATAATCTAAGTATGTGTATACATGTACATACATATGTGGGAATATGGCGACGCGGAGGCCAACATCTGCTTCACTACTGTTGACAGATCCGACGCTCCAGCTCAGGGAGGAGGAAAACGCACAAGGTAACCAAGACTTTTATTGTTCAGTCTCTGTCTTTACTGAACAGAGTAAAAACAGAAGCAGACAAAAAAATTATTTTTTTTAAATAACATATTTAATAAAAATATATTTATTTTTTTCTTAAATACATATATCTTGTTTTATTTATATTTGAACATAAATCCAAGAATGTAATGTGGATTACGTCAAAGCAATGTTGGATGCAAAAAAGTTTTTTCTTCAGTAAATAATGATGCAATTCTGCTGTGGCATCACTCTGGAAAAAATCTACTTCCTGTTTCAATGTTCTTTCGCTTTTCACTACCTCCACTGACAGGTCGACTCAGGAGCCCGCCCCCTACCATACTCATCATCAACATCAGCAACTCCACCATGATCAACTGCGTCATCGGGGATTCCCGCCCCTCCACAGAGGCTGAGCAGCAGCCTCTGATGGAGGACTCTGAGCAGCAGAAAGCAGGTGGGTGACAACTGCAGCTCACCCTCGTGCATCTTGAGTTATTATTATTATATATTTATTTATTTTTGAGCACCTAAACACATCCTGCTCACGTGTTACAGTTAAGGTGAGCTGCAGTTGCTGCCAAAGCCTGCAGACGGCAGCACAGGCTGCGCCTTCGGAGCCTCCCGCCGCGCACCAGAACATCATCATCCACGGCTCGTACCTCAACAACGTCATCGTGGGAGACAACAACTACATGCACGTTCAGCAGGACGAACTGCTCGACTAAAAGCCGAGAGACGTCTGAAGCCTCTCACACTAAAGGCAGCGCTGCAGGAAGGGGCCGGCTGGATGTTTCGGTTCTCTTTCAAGCATGCTCACTGACAGAACTGCTGGTTTGTTTGACTCGTGAACTCGTGAACACGTCAAACAAAAACAGATTCAGTAGAAACAAAAGCACTCTTACAGGTTCTCTAACTGTGGTCCTCATCGGAAGTGATGGGCGTTGTGCAATGCTGGAACTTCTGCTTCCCTTATTTAAAGACGAGAAATTTTTACTATAGTGAACTTCTGCTGACTCAGTTTTATGCGGTGGATTGTCGTGCAGCACCACCCGCTCCATCTTATTTAATTTTTTGTATTGGTTTATTGTATATATGTGTGTCAATTATCAAGTTTATATCAAAAATCCTGTCATGGGTCATAATAAAGTGTAAGGCCTATGGTCATTAAGAGTAAACTTGCTAGTGCTATTTATTGCTCAAAGTATTTCTTAATGTACATATATATATATATTTAATTTAATTACATTTTCGATTAATTTTTCCTTGTAAGTGCACAAGACGGAAAAGTGTTTTATTTGTGGCACTTCGCTTCTCATCAGTTTGCCTGTTTGATTCACTTTTAAAAACATTTGTAATATTTTGTAATACTTTTTTTTACAATAAAGACATGTATTCTTTACATATTTTTGTCCAATTTCCTTCTTTTTTTTCCCCTTAATGTGCAAACATGGCGTTGGAAGAAAAAAAAAAAGTCACTTCTTCTTCTTCTTCTTCCCCCCCCCTTTCTTCTTGCCTTTCTTCTCCTCTACCTTCTTGTAGGGGCCGAGGCCTCTGCGGACCATGGTGCCCCTCCAGTAGGCCTGGATCTGCACAGAGCACAAGAAGAACATCAGCACACTGTGCGCCTCAGTGCGTTTACTATCAGTCAGTGTTCCTGTTGAACGCCGTTACCGTTGTGGCGGCTTGAGCTTCCTCCTCCCGTTGCTTTTGCAACTCTTGGTCCTTCTTGTCGTGCAGCACCACCCGCTCCATCTCCTTAAACTAAAACCAACAATGACTGGTGTGATTTAAAGGTGAGCTGTTTGGTGATCGCTCTGTTATGAGTGCTGCTGCTCACCATCCTCCTCATCTCCATCAGCTTGTCTATGTTCAAAGTTCTTTTGCAGCCCAGGTTATCCAGCTTGCTCTGCTTTTCCTGCTGCATCTTCTTGGTTTGCTGCTTCCATTTGTGCAGCCTCTGTTGAAACTCCTAATCAGAAATATACAATTATGTCGTACGTAATACTAGCAGAGCATTACTCTTATTAGTACTACTATAGGAATGCTTCTTAAGCATTAACATATATCCCAGATTTCTAAAGAAAATATAAACGGGAGACCATGGATAATGTAAGAAATAGCGCCCCCTTCACTTCTGGAGTGCAATGGTCCCATTTCCAAATAAGGTAGGAAACTGACAGCGGTCCTTCCCCACCCCTTTCTGTTTGCTACCTGTAGCTCGGCTGATACAGAGAGCGAGAAAAAGGTGGTTTGAGTTGTACTTCAACGGGTTTCCCCTTTGCGGTGTCAGCTCCTTCAGACTAGCCAGCAGCAATTGGCAAACACCTGGTGGTACTGCGGATCACATGAGCTCATTAAAGGATCTACTTTTCAGTGCAACGCTGGCAAAAACGTTGTTAAAGGGTTTATTTATTTTTCTTTGTTTAACCAGGTAAACCCCGTTGAGATCTGGATGTTATTTTTAGGAGCGACCTGGGCAGAAGTCCGTATTAGAGGAGCCACGTTGTGATGACTTCCTTAAGCCAGAGCTTCAGAAATAACAGGAGTTTTTAAAGAGACAGAGGCCCAATTTCAAAGTGATAAATTATGAAAGAAAATTTCTTTTCAGTGATATTTGATGCATTTTTATAACTTAAGCTAACATAGTTGATTGCGCTATAAATTCCCACTATGTACTTATTGTGCTGCCCCTTTAATGGTATTCAAACATTTCCAGTTGATAACTTTAAGTTTCAGTATCCACGTGTGAAAGGTTAAAGAACCACTGAAGTTCTTGTTCCTCGAACAGGGTTTTGCTTTCCTCAACTAGATGTTGAACCACATATGAATTGCACAGCAGTTAGATGAACCCAGCGCTCTACATTTACATCTCGTTCACGTTACCAACCTCGTACTGAATCTGGAGGAACGTCACTGTCTCCTCGTGAAATCTCGCCTCTTCTTCCATCTGCCTCTGCAGAAGCTGAGAGCAAAGGCGAACAAAACTGTGAAGGAGCGAAGTTCGATTTGACGGAGGAGGAAGTTCTGCCGCTTATCTCTGGAAGATTGGGGTGATGTGAAAGAAAGACTTGGAGATTGATGTACCTCCAGCTGGTCCACCAGCTGAACCTTCCGCCACGTCTCTTTGACCAATTGTGGGGACAGGACCGACTTCTTTTTCTTCTGCAGTTTGGATGTTTCGTCTTCCAGGTCATTCAAAAGAAGATACATTTTCTGTGGGGAGAAAAGTTATTGGAAGAGTTGAGATTCCTGGGATTTCTTCGGTTAATACTCAGGGTTTATCGTTCTCAGTCATTCTCAGGTACGCGCTGCTCAGTGTACTAATGGAGGAGAAACAATTTAGCGTCACAGGAAAAATTTTTATCCACAGTTACCGGCAGGCGTGCAACTGGCCTGGGAACTCATGAAGTCACTAGCACAGCAGAGAGCACCAAAGAGAGTGTGAGTGGTGCATAGATGAGCATAATTGACAGCACTACAGCCCTCCTCCTGGTTCTGATTGGCTTTTTCTGGCAGAGCTGTGTGTTTCTGTCGTTGACATTGAGAGAAGGCAGAGGAGCTCGATTTTTTGTTTCTGCAGATTATTTGCCACATATTATTCTGTCACAACAAGAGGAAAAATTTAGCAAATACATAACGGAGAACTGAGGCAGTTTTCCGCTCTAGTGGTTTTTCCCTTTGGGCAAGGCACAGATAATAACTGGACCAGTGAGCACACGCTAACACCGCTAATCTCTCACGTGAATTTGATTCTTTTTGTCCTCGATTTCCTGTTGTTGTATCTGCAGAGCATGTTCTCTCTCTTTCCGCATTTTTTCCTCCTCTCTGCATGGGAAGATACACCACATAAGTTTTCCAAAAAATAAAACTTATCAGTAGGAATATTGGTAGTATTGAACCTTTTCTTCCTGGCTGCTTTCTGTGCCTCATCCTCCTCCATGGCCTGAGGAACTGACTCAAAGCTCTGGGTGTCCTCCAGCTCAAAGCAGAGCTTGGTGACATGATGGCAGATGAACTGACTGCAGACACAAACAAAACCTGCTTAAAGGGATGGGGGGAAAGACCTGATGCAACATATTTCTAGTTTGTATTCTTCTGATAATTACTCACCAATCTGCTTTGAGCTGTACCAGCCTGTCTTTCTCCTAAACGTGCGCATGAAGAAACATACGTGAGGAGACATTTTTCATTCAGGAAATCTTTCCAAACACTAAGAAGGGAAAAGAAATCCAGAGAGCATCATAAACTATTCAGCTGAAAGGTGTTAGTAATCACCATCCTGGTGGAACTGTCATAATGAACAGATCAGAGCAACAGCCAGCTGTTTCGGCAGAAGCGGTTTCCGGCATGGACAATGTGGGCAGTTGCCCAGGGCTGCCTCACCTGTAGGGCAGCATGAGCTGCCACATTACTAAACAGTGTGCGGTCATCAATGCTCTTAAAGGGCCGGTTGTGCCAGAATGTATTGATAAAAAGCAGTTTGCGAATTGCTAAAATATCATTGAATTCTTAAAATGAAATAATATCCTTGAACATCTTTTCAGTCCCTCCAAGATTTTGTGTTTGTGGTACTAATTTAGAAATATTTCCACTTATGTATGATGGTAAATGCGACTTTTTATCACTTTCTGTTTCTATCATGGAATGTAATCTGACATCAATTAAAGCTGAGGCAGCTGTTTAGTGGAAGCAAGAACGATTTTGACAATCTTTGAGAAAAATCTGCAATAAACTCTCAATTATGTATTGGCGCAATAAAGTGAGGGGATTTGTCAGTTTCGCATGAATGTAATAGACAGATATATCTGTTATATCTATCTATTAAATTCAGATAAAAACGGCTTTGATTTGATTGATAACATAATATTTAGACACAACTCGTGTTTAGCCAAAAAACCTGGAGGGCCACAAAATAGCTATGGTGGACCGGATTTGGCCCAAGAACCTTGAGTTTGACACCTGTGATCCAGGGCAACAAGGAGGCTAGGACCGGCCCTGGCTTGCTGTTGGGGTGTGAAACGGTGGAAGGACCTGTGTGGATGTGGAGCCTCGCTCCCTGCTGATCTGCACCGACAGGGAATGTCCCAGTAGGTCCAACTGGTGAGCGCAGTCCTCCAGTGCTGCCACTGTTCTGAGGCTCTGGATCTTGGACAAGGTTAAGGACATCCTGAGCGGAGAACAGCGGAAAGGTCAGTGGATTCCTCCGCCTCCACACCGTTATGTCACCCGAATCAAATACAGAGGCTCATAAAAAAAAACCACAACTTCGAAAACACTTCCTCGTTGCAGTAAATCCAAAAAAACAACGAGCTGACTGACTTCCGCTTCACACAAAGTGAGCCTGACGAGATAGCACTTACGTGAGCCTCGTAAAGCGTCGAGTAATTACCCGGGTGAGTTCAGTTTGACTTTAAACTTCTGACGGCGCCATTAGCCTGAGCTAACGTTTGGCGCGTCACCATGGTAACAGGACGTATTTCTTTCCCCCTCCGCAGTGAAAAGTAGAGTCATTTTTTTTAGTTGCTACTGTCTCGGATAAACCCGCCTAGTCACTTTTGAATCATTTTATTTATTTATTCATATAGTCTGTAATGATGCTCTGCATTTTGGCTCACTGTGTAGTTTTGAAAATTTCAATGTTCCCTCTTCTTAATAAAATTTGGTTTTATTTATTATTAAACTACCATTAACATCTAGAACTCCTGAAATCCAAGTAATCTATTATTTTCCCTTTGCTCTTCCTCTGAACAAAACATAAAGACTCCTTTCATGTATTGCTATACAGTTTATTGTCGTCGTTCGCTGCAGGTAGTTACAGGTCAAAGGTTACAGGTTACAGACCGAGGAAACAGGCGACCCTGGAGTACATGCATGCTGCTGCCTGTCACACCGTGCTGCTCCCAGATGCAGCTCCTCACCTGTGTCACTGTCAAGCGTTGTCCTCACCGGGACAACATCCACCTGATCTACACGCTCACACACAAGACCATCACAAACAAAGTATGTACACCGACACTGGGTGACTCTTCTATGAATGAGCGATCATGAAAGGCAGCTTGTAAGGCAGAAGTATATCATGTAGATGAGGAACACGTCCAGGTCAGAAGGCAGATTGTACCTCCTTCCACTCCGGATGATGATTATAAATCAGAGAAGGCATTTTTAAATGTTATGTCCTGTGCATAAAACAGTCAGACTGTGAATTATACAGTGAACTGGGGTTTCCTCCTCTGCAGATGAGGCGTTTCATTATGACTAACCTTCACACGATGCAAACATCGGAACACAAGAAGTTAAGAGAACGAACAGTAGATGAGTTACTATATGTTGATTAGTGTCGCGAGACAATTGAGATTATGCAAAAAAATATGCAAGTATCACATGAAAATTATTCAAAGATGAATTGAATGAAAAAAAGCAAAGATGGTTTTCTCTGCAGAACAGCAGCATTGATGTCAGAACTTCACAGCCTCTGGAAAGGTTTATGTGTAAAAAATAGGGACTATTTTTGATTATACTTGTGGTTTGTGTCATTCATAACAATAAAAAAACCCAAAAAAATGCAAATTAAAAAAAAAACTAAAATTGATTAAAAAACTCAGCAACTTGTATCTATTAAGACTATTTCTGATTTTAGAAGTGTTAGGTGAATGTGACCGAAATCTAAAATTTTTTCCTGCCAAAATGCAACTCATATCCAACTTTTTCATGGCAGTCTAAACAGATCCAATTCCGAATTATTGGAATTGGATCTGTGCCACTTCCATATGCGGTGCTAGACCAGACAGGTCGACTGCAGTCTGAATAGTCACGTTGCATTTTATCTGACTTTTATGCGTCATAATTCTGCGCTAGGAGAAAACAGATGCCATGAATCTGGATGTAAACAATAGCAGAAATTTCTAATTATGAAATGATCATTTCTGAGTCACATCACCATCACTCTTGGTTCTGACTGTGCATCCAAATAGACTTCTCCAAAGAAGAAGTCAATGCTCCACAAAATGGGGACTGCTATTAGTTGTACTTTCTTTGTCTTGTTATAAAAATCTGATTTCAACAAAACAAAACAAAAAAAAAAAAAAAAAACACATCAAAATTGATCATCAAGACCTGCTGTGTGGACGTCGCCACTGAGACCCAATAGTTCAGCAGTGGTTCTGTTACAGCAAAATAACACTCAGCACTGTTAAACCGTTGGTAAACACCCAAGTTCTGACAAAATGATCTTATATACAAATAATTCATTTAGCAGATATGTAGTAAATGTTGCTCATGAGAAAGTAAAAACGGGCCCAGATTAAAAGTGGCTGAGGTGAGCTTCATCCTGATAGGCTGAGGATCTCCATCACCTCATCCCAGACTGGAGCTGATCTACTTCTGATCAATGACAGTAAACTGATCAAGTCGTCGTCCATGAAGTTGTTTCATTTTGTGGGATGGACTTCTTACTCAGATGAGACCTTTGAGCAGAACCTGGAAGTCACTAGAGGAGCTGTGTATCTGTTTTGCTTTGAGAATGAGCTGGGATGTGTTGTAGGACTACATGATAGAGTTGCACTGCAAAAACACTATTTTTGGTCTTGTCTTTAATGCAAATATGTCAGTTAGAAATAACATTTCAGCAAGATAGAGGAGCTATTTTTAAATAAATATTTCCTTCATATTTATTTCTTTTTTTGAAAAAGTACTAATTCCACTTGCATTTTTCATTACTTCTTCCTAAGATATTTTCCCCCATATAATAAGTGAAATAATCTGCCAGTGGAACTAGTACTTTTTTTAATCAATATTAAGAAATTATTAACTTAAAACAAGCTGAAAAGTCACTTATTTCTTACCTTATTTGTTTTAGTTTTTATCATTTCAAATGCACTAAGATATTTGCACTAGAAACTGTTCTCTCTGTCATCTTATCTTAAGTAAGCAGGCGACAATGAATAGGTGGATTAATTATAGGCCAAGAACGAAGGTTTTTGTTTGTTAAAAAAAAAAAAAAAAGTATTATTTGGCACAAATGAATATTTAAAAGAAAACGTTGTTTCTGTCTGGTTCTGTCAGAAACGCTTTGCGTTTCCTCCAGAGAAACAAGCAGAACGGAGATCTCAGGTTGGCTGACAGCAGCAGTGAGGATATGTCTCTCTGAGCTGTGTCCATTGGGGAAACCTAAAATAGAAGGTGGCTTTTCCTTTTTTTTTGTTTTTTTTGCAGAAGCAATCCTTTACAGAGCACACGCATACACCCAAACACACATGTAAAAAACTAAATTATAACCCATATAAAATATACAGCTTTATATTCTGTGTTTTCTTGAGCGTCTCTCTCTTTCTCTCTGTTTAGAAGAGAATCCCTCCTCTGGTTTGTGCTTTAAAATGAATCTGAGTTGACCTGGACTGCCCTCTTGTGGCCTCAGTGGTGAGACGTCAGTCCGCTCGGACTCTCAGGTTGTTTTTACGTCGACCGTTTGTGGGCAGAGCAGAGTGAGACTCAGATGTTGGCGAGGGAGAGGGGGCTGAAAAAGACTGGCGGTTCCTGCAACATGCAGTTAGCTGGAGCTGCTGTTCATGATGAGGAGGAAAGGAAAACTTTGTCTCTAAAAGTTCATGTGAGTCGTTCTGACCGCTCACTGCGACCCAGGCGAGCTTGAGCGCTTTCAGATTTCGTTGATTGTTCGTTCCGAGGGCCTGTAGCCCTCGGCCCCTTTAGGGGACGACATGTAGAAGGACTGCGTCTTGCGTTTTAAGCGAGCCCTCTTGGTGGCCAGCGACAGGCTGTGCTTGCTGGAGGCGATAATGTCAGAGATGAACTTCTTGCAGTCCACACACACCTCCATGGTGGCCCAGTCCTCCGTTAGCTCGGGGGGCAGCTCTAGTTCCTCGTGAGACTTCAGAGAGCCGTGCTTCGAGAGCCTGCGGCGAGGACAGACAAACAAATATCAGGCTAGAGGTACACAGAATTATAAAGTAGTATGAGTTAACTTATAATAATTTCATGCTTCCACTTACACTTTTCGGTCCAGATGTTGTGTTTTGGACACATCAGCTATTTTTAAAAGCAAAGTGTGGGCTTTGTGACAAGTATTTTTCATACCTACTTAAAGGTTATTTGAAAAGATTATTTTACTCTGACAATTGATACGTACATTCAAATTTATTGAACTTGAACTGTGCTTTCTAGACTGTAATCTTCCAGACTTGCGATTTTAATTCTCTCCACTAGATGTCAGTGGCCGTCTGTGTGAAGCAGAAAACTTGAAGTCTCAGCTTGTTGAATAAGAGCAGCTCAGCTTTGAATTAGAAACCCTGCGCTGTTTTGTCTTCTCAGCGTTAAAAGAGCAACATTCTATTCTCAGTTCTCATATGATTTCTGTGTGTGTTTTAATGCAGAATAATTAACTTTTTATCTGGCAGCAAATGAGGCGTTCCGGACATGGTCTTACTTGGACATGGTCTTGTGGATACTGTGGCGCTGTTGGCTCCCTGGCGGTTTGTCGGCCTTGGCAGCTGCAGCTGCTCCCGTACTTTTCCCAGCCCCTTTAGATGCTGCCTTCGTAGCTCCTTTCAAAGTCGGGCTGGAAGCGGCCCCTCCCGCTGCCATCGACGGCCCCGGACCTCCGGCCACAGAGAGGCCTTGTCCTACGGCAGCCATGGCACTTATTCTGTCTCTGGGCAGAGTGTTGGTGGATCCGATGGAGTAGATAGGGAGACTGGAATACGGTTTAGATGGAAGCCGCATCTGGTAGAAATCGAAGGCAGAAATGTTATCAGTGGTATGTAGTAGTATTTATGACGTATGAGGGCCTTTGTACATAGAAAAAAAAAATGAGTAAATTTTCACCAAAAAAAACTTTTTGATTAATCTCAAAAATTTTCTAGAAAAAAAACAAGGAAATTTATGAGCTACAAAAGTAGAAAAAATGCAAGAAAATAACTTTCTGGAAATTTCTGATTTTTAGATGTTGAAAAACTGATAGAAAAAAACCCCCTGAAGTTTCGAGATAAAAATTTTGGAACTTAGAAAATCTCTAGTTTTTTCTATAAAATTTCTGAGATGAATCTAAAAATATTTTGGTGAAAATTGGCTCCTTTTTTTCTGTCTACAAAAAATACATCATCACATTAACACCACAGTGAGCTGATTCATTCTGTGGGACGTACCTTTTTGCAGCACTGCGAACACACAGGCCTACAAACAGAAGGTTGGAACATAAAAAAGAGAAAGACATTAATTATAGTCAATACTGTAAACCACGAGGAGACATCCAGCTTGCATAGATTTGTAAATATGAAAAGGTTTACTTTATGCAGAACTGGCAGGTATAGGACCAGGTGAAGAAGGAAAACCTTTTGGTTCGACAGCAGAAGCAAAGCTGCAATAAAACATGAATACAATTATTTAGTCCACTGACAACTGCATGTACACTCAACAATAGAAAACTATTTTTTGAAGAAAAATTTGTAAAGTTGTGAAATAAATACCCATGTTCCCAAGACTTTACATTGAAAGACATAATGACATTATCTGGTCCTCATTAGTTAGCTTTGCCATAGTAGATGAATATACAGTTATTCTCTATATATGGGACTATAACTTAGATTTGGTCATTTATTTCTAAATTTTAAGATTTGGTGAAATCGGGTGACCCTGACTTGTTTCTGCTAAGCGGGAATGTGATTAATTTAATGGTACCTTGCCCTTCTTCATGGCGTTGTAAATTTCTTTGTACTGCTGGAACTTCTCCAGTTCTGCTTTCACCAGCACCTGTCTGATATGCATCACTTCCTCCACCGTCAGAGACAGGCACTCCACAGGGAAACAAAACTCCTCCTGCAAAAACCCACCCAACAAAACAACATGCTTACACCCAAACATTTCAAAACTAAAGGCAAAATCATCAAGGTTTTTTTTTAACCCTGTCTATACCACATCAGCCTTTAAAGAACCACAAAAATGCATTTGTACTTTGTGATATCCGCAAGGTGGGCTGCACAGTGGCGCAGTTGGTAGCACTGTTGCCTTGCAGCAAGAAGGTCCTGGGTTCAGTTCCTGGCTCAGGGTCTTTTGCATGTTCTCCCTGTGCATGTGTGGGTTCTTTCCGGGTACTCTGTCTTCCTCCCACAGTCCAAAAACATGACTGTCAGGTTAGTTGGTCTCTCTAAATTCTCCTAGGTGTGAGTGTGTGTGTGTGTGTGTGTGTTGTGTGTGTGTGTGTGGGGTGTGTGTGTGTGTGTGTGTGTGTGTGTGTGTGTGTGTGTGTGTGTGTGCATGGTTGTTTGTCCTGTCTGTCTCTGTGTTGCCCTGCGACAGATTGGTGACCTGTCCAGGATGAACCCCGCCTCTGGCCCGGAACGTTAGCTGGAGATGTATATATAATAGACCAACATGGCAGTCAACTCTTTTTTTTTTCTTTTTTTTTTTTTGACAAATGAAAATCTGTGTGACCCTCTTATTTTTATACCCCTAAATTCAATCCAGTGAAAACAACTGACTTGTAATCAGTTACGAGTGTGAAGTATTTCCTGTGTGAATTCTGTAAAGGCTTAAAAAGGTTTGTGGTTTAGCCGGATCAAAGCAAGGTCGGGCTGTAAAATAATATCCAAGGTTTTGGAAATCTCAAAGTCGCCATGGTAATTGGAGGAGCCTCAGAGGTCCAAATCCAAATCTTCATGGAGGAATGGCAACCAGATAGTAGCGCCGTGGCACGCAAAGCTGATCTGGAATCCACTTTTTTTTTTTAAGTAATTAAAACTAAATGTTTTGCTCAATTGTGTTTTAGTATGGGATGTGTTGCACTGTGGATTTTTTTTTGCCAAGACAAGATCAAGTAAAAGAAGAACTTGCCTGCAAAACAAGTTTTAAACACAGGTTGTATAACAGCACCTTTGCTTTGCAGTTTTTTTTCTTTTCTTCCCTTTTCTTTCACTCTGAAGAAGATCCACTCACCTCAGTGATATGAATGCTTATAGCTAATGATTACTTGATCATCACACAGCTTTGACTTTTCATCCTCAGATTATGTCTTGATCCTTCAGTGTGGAAAAAAAACGGCTAAAACAAAAATGTTGACACCAGAGTAAAGTAAGCCACCCCATCCTGACTAAGCTGAACACTGTGATTTCTCCACCTTTCCTTCCTTAAGACAAAAACCTGCACCATACAAAACAGAGGTGCATCAAAACAAACATACACACTAGACAGCACTTGATATTCCAGAACCTGTTTTAGTATCTACTTGCGCTAAATTTAGAAAAGCCACAAAGTCCGTAACCCTGGTTAGTAACTTTAGGCCATGGCAGAAGTTTGCTGTTACTGTGAAGTGTTAGGAGAGGAAGGCAGGGCTACAGGTAAAACACCAGGACTGACTGAGAGGAGACTGGCAAACCTTAAGTGACTCCCTTCGTCTGATGCAAACACTTCTGCACAGAACAAAGAGCACCTTGACCAAACCCAACAGAAACGCCTCAGTGGGGTGGGAGCTCTGCAAAGCATGGAGAGCTGGGGGAGATGGGCGGAGGAGGAGGAGCAGGAGGGAAGTGATCCAGGAAGGATGCGAGGCTGTCGCCCCGACGTTCTGAATGTGAAGTCGGATGAGGTGTTTGTGGGGAAAAAGCAGAACAGAGCAGCTGCTTGAATAACTGATTGCACTTTATAGAAAAGGAGAAAAATGAAACAAAAACTGTGATCTATTTAGCTTTCAAACCAAAGCAAGATGGAAGTTAACTTCTTCAAAGTTTTCAACTGTCTTCTTGGTTATTCTTTTACATAATTTAAAATGTTCACAAATCAAATGTGTGTAAATCTTGTCAATATTCTGCTAATGTGAAGAAAAAAAACAACTTCCCAATTGCGGTGTTTCCAATGAGTAAGAAATGAAAATGAAAACACACATGACTAAGCTTGTTCATGCGACAAGTCATAAAAATTATGCCAGTAACAGATGTGAACAGTTACATGAGACATATTCATATTTTATCCATGGCTCAAGAACTCATCATCTATCAGGTGGAACCAGCCGCAAACTGTCCATAAAAACCCCCCACGAAACCATCATCCTCTTACCGCCACTTCCTGTCGTCTTCTTTGTCGTCTTTGCCAGTAGTAACATCTGGCTGTTGATCATGTGACTCATTTCATGCGAAAACTGCGTTTCCATTCCAGTTTTGTGAAATACACCAATTTTGATACGGCTGAATCTCACTCACCAGAGACTTGGAGTTCTGCTTGGACGGTGGCTGGAACTGTCGGACGCTGGTGGGCGTTTCCTTCTCGATGGAGTGTCTCCTCTGAGGGGTCTGACGCCTCTCCGGCTGAGGTGTGGAGGAGATGGGCAGGAACATGGGAGGGGCTGGTATAAGAAAGGACAGACAACAAATTAGGAAACTTCAATCAGAAATGATTTTTGAACTGATGAGAAGTCAACACCCTACCTGCACTAGAGAACTCTGCGGGCATCTTTAGTGTGAATTCAGGTTAGTTGAACCAGAGACTAAGCTAGCATTTAGCTTAAGGAAGACCTAAAGCCTATTTCCTCCATTCTCGAAGCATTGATGTACTTTACTGTGTCCTCAACAAGCATGTGACTTATTAATACTAATTATGGTTCAACAGAACAGCTGCCTTCCACTCAGATTTATGCAGTTCTCACAACAGCCTCCTAGGGGGAAACAATGCAGTGTTCTACTCTATCTAACAGAGGAAGAGAAGAAGAAAATAATCAAGCAATTTTTCAACAGTTTTGGGGTTTTTGTTCTCCCTGAAATATTGACGATAAACACCAGAAAAACAGCAGAGCTTTCCCAGATGTATTTCTCTGAAAACAAATAGTGATGCAGTTATCCACTGTGGGTAAAACATTGACTGCTCATAACTAAAGTGAGGTTCACCAGAGCCTCACTTTAGTAGCCTTGTTCTTTGGTTCCTTTAACCAAAGAACAAAAAAATCCCACATTACATAAACTCTGAGTCATGGCTGCCAAGGTTGTTGCTATCAGGTAAATTATTATTATTATTTTTTATTAAGCAGACAATTCAGCTATGACGAAAGGTGAAAAAACAAAATCTTCCTGACTCACTTTTCTTTCCCAATGCAGACTCTGGGGACGTGTCATCCATCAAAGACGTTGCCACACTGGAGTTGCTTGCCGATGTGCGTCCAAACAACTCATCCTGAATACACAAGTGTTATCGTGTCCTGCAGTCGTCATTTTGCTTCTGAAAGGGGGAAATTTAAAAACAAAAAAAAGCAACTTACATCAGAGTCGGAGCTGTCCAGCTCAGCCAGGCTGGGCGCCTTCAGGAGTTTCTTCCTCTGAGGGACGGACTGAGAACCGGAGGACTCTACTCTGGGAGAGCGCGACCCGTTGGTCAGAGACAGAGAACTGGACGTCCTCCTGCCCATGTACGGACTGAACTCATCTGCACAGAGTCACGCAGGAGGCAGTCACTCGACAGGAAGGGAAAGCAGGTCAAATGGATCTCAATCCGCCTCCTCCTGTGCGCCGTTGCATCCTCATTGGGTTTTACGCCGGATCTTTAAATTGGTTTTTAATTATTTTCTTTTTATTCCCCATTTGTGAACTGGCAACCAGATCCGTCTGAGTGGAAGGATGGAATTTAATCTGCCACAGAGGACCAGGGTTGGAGATCCATTTGAGGGTGGAGGAGTTTGGGAGGGATGCGGAGGAGGTTCTGAGGGGTTGGAGGTTCAAAAGGAGAACGTAGAAAACGCAGACAGATTAATTTAAGTATTTAGATTAACTATGACATCCTTTTATCTACCACTAACCCTAATAATATTTATTTTTGTGTGAACTAAGTACTCAAATGTAACTCCTTACTTTGTATTGACCAAACTGGAGCTGAGATGAAAGCAGAATATTTAAAGCAAAGAACAAAACCTTCAAAAGGTTTAGTAGAAAACGAGGAGCGTAAGAGGAGGAGGTGCAGGAGTACAAGCCTCTCCAAACCCAACATTCCTAACAAAAAAAAGTAAATCATTCAAAACTTTTAAGTGATTCACTCAGACATCATTTTGCATTCTGCTAAAGCTCCCAGCAGTCGAGTTTTTTTTTTTTTTTTTTTTTTGGAAGATGTTAGTTTGCAGCCAGGGAGGGGAGACAGATAAGGCCAAAAGATTAAAGCCAAACAGGGTCGTTCAAAACTGCAGCATTGCTGATACGTTACCTACTCCTGTACGGAACAAATCCTGAGGCATACTGCGAGTTTTGCCAAAACCTAAAAGGTAGACACCTCTCTTATTAGAGTAGCACAGAGAACATAATACAGCTTAACCATTAACTACATCCAAACAATCCATTCTCTAATGGCTCAGGTACCTTCTCAGCTAACAGTTTAACACTTTTTAAGCCTTTCTCTTCCCTGTTCCTGATTGTGGGATTTCCAGACTGTTTTCATTTGACTTTTCTAATACATCACTTTATAGATGAAGACATCAATCTTTCATGTGCGGCTTGCACTGCAAGTCTAGTTTCACAAAGTAAAAAGCATGATATCGGCTGATACCGATCAGACACAGAAAAACAGCTGAATTGACTTAAAATGTTTCTTTGAAGCACAGACATTAATGTACTGAAAAACTCATGTATTTGATTACGCTGCACCAGCAGAGCACATTTAAATACACCAGTAGCTTCACAAGCTCGCTCCAAAACAACACAACTTTGATTTGTTCAATCAGTGTAATTAGCAGTGTAACTAATGTAAAATAAATAATAAAGAAACTGAAACTGACAAAAATAATAGGTTGAGTGTTTTGGTCAAACATATAGAAATAAACCGCAACAAACCTTTTTTTTTTTTTCAAATGGTTCAGAATGTGTAATTATGTTCTAAATATAATGTAACATAAATAATAATGATGTGGCTCGGAGCACAAAGCATAGAATTAGACTGACTAGATCTGCACTTATGGATCTGGAACTTTGTCCCCGAGAGCCGATCTGGAATACTTTTTAATATCTGGACCAATACAGATATTGAAGTTGCATCTCTGAAACATAGTGGACTCAATCTGTCATTACTGCTAAATCATTACACACAACAACACACACGGATCACCAGAAAACATAAACGGCAGGGGGTTGGACTTAAAGACTCTGGTATGATGAGGGACACTGACATCAGCAGGAGGCGACAAGGACCACCGCATCATCAGGTTACCATGGCAGCATTTGGTTCACAGTGATGACACTTTTACATATCATGGAGCAGATCTTTGAGAAGAACCCTTCTGGTTAACTATCTGCCTGCCTCAACATGGCACAGTCCTAAAAACTAGCATTCACTGAGTGGCAGTGTTCATCACAAAGGAGTGACATTATTCACATCATTCAACTCAACTATTCTTTTTTCTTGTAAATAACTCAGTCCCTGAGCTGTGATTTTTCTTTTAAACGCTCCAGAGTAGTGACAGATCTTTAAATGTCCCAGACTGTCTGCAAGGCAAAACGATCTGTTCCAACCAGCCGCAGAGCCGGGCTTAATCTCCCCCTTTGGGACGACGCTGTTTTAATGAGAAATAGGGGATTCCCTGCTCTTAGAAATTGGAAAAAAAAAAAAAACTGATTTGTTGATCCAACAGTTTTTTTCTGGTTGGTGACGTCGAGATTAGGATACAGAGATTTTTCCGGGTCAATAATATTTCTCATAAATTGAAAGAAAATAAAGAGATCCTTCAAAATAATAATAATTAAAAAAAATTATGTTCAATTTTTGAATAATTAAATAATATCTATGTAATTAAAATATTAAAATGCAACATATTATAAATATTCACATGCTGCTTTTTTATTTATTTATTTTGTTGGGTAGCAAATTTCTTAATCTGGGACGTGAGTAATAATTTCGTACCACAAACAAGCAAGGTGGCATGACAATAAAAAAAATCATTTAAATCTTGAAAATACAATGTTGAGATGAGCTAAAAATCTTGATACATTCTTACGTTAATAAAAGGCATTAATTGCAGTTCCTCTTTTTAATCTTTTTCATTTTTGTCATCCATATCTACAATTGTGACAGATGCAAAAAGAAAAAAAATAGCATCTTGTTAGCAGCAACCTCATCCATCTCAAGTCAGAGAACGCAATGAAAATGTCTGTGTGCGACTCAAACTTTTGCTTGACATAAAAAAAACATTACATGCCTCAACACAAATTAAAGCCATGTGATTAATGTTTTTAAAGTCAACTTACTTGCAAATTTCACGGCAATATATGTATTTAGAGGCAAGCCTCGGACTAAATGATGTGCATAAATATGATTATCCCTCTTCTTTGTGTTTTGTATTCTGTAATCTCAGTTTACTCATTAGTTGCTAAGTTACACACAGTTTCCACCAGCTACTCTGTAACTTGATTTTTGCTGAAAAACATTTGGTTTTTATATTTTTTTCTAGGAAACCTTCATGTCCCAGATCCCCATATAGTGTCATATAAATCTGCTGCCTGGAGTGTTTGTTCTCTTAAGGATCCTCTTGCTGATCAGTGTCCCACTTAAAAACAGCTAACCACAGAAGCATGACATGGAATGTGTACACAGTCAGTACTGAGCATGTGTGTGTGTGTGTGTGTGTGTGTGTGTGTGTGTGTGTGTGTGTGTGTGTGTGTGTGTGTGTGTGTGTGTGTGTGTGTGTGTGTGTGTATTTACATATAAATGTATATTTATATGTCTCTGCGTGTGTGAGCCGATAAAGCAGATGAACAGCCACAGCATAGTGGAGAAAATGAGATAAAAAGCCAGGTAAGCAGCAAAGGGAAACGTTACCTGACGCATCAAAACTGAAAGACATGCTAAGAGGCCGAATGACTGCAACGAGAAACAGTCACGGTGCGGGGAGGTTACTGCATGTTAAAGCAGGACTTAACACACACAAGAGAAAGCAATCTGCTGATAATCCTGGCAAATATGAATAGGAACATTAACAGCTTTCACATCAAAAAGGGTATTTTCTCTTCCGTGATGGATTTCTCCTGACAGATTCCTGGTAGCTGTGTCCGCCTGTGAGAGCCAGCAAAATTTGCCCTCTGCCCAACTTTTGATCATAATTTTTTCAAAGCTTTGATCCATCAATTTTGCTTGCAGTGATTGACTCAAAATGTTGCACAATGAAATAGTAAGTTATAGTTATAATCAGTCTGTTTCACTGCTTTACTTTTTAATTAATCTTTTTAACCACAGTTCAAAAGCAATATATGATTTTCATTGGTTAATTTTTAGAACATTTTTATTCATTGCCATCAAAGCTGCATCTGTGACAGACGCAAACAAACCTAGCTCGCTAGCTAGCAAGAGTATATTTGTAGCTAGTTAGCAGTAGCCTCAAGCGATTTCAGTGACCATTTTGGGCTTTTTGGTCACACTAACAATTTTGACATCAGACCTGAATGTCGTCTGCTCAGCCTTCCTGTTATCTGCTGAACTCTGTCTCAATTGGACTTGAGCGGCTTCCCTAGAATTCATTCTTAAACTCATTGCTTGTAATTTAGGATAACTTTAAGTCTTCTTTCCTCACCAAAAGTGTTGCTAGCACTTAGTTGTAGTATGCTCACTTATTTGTAAAAAGGCAATTTTTTGGGGGTTATGGAACTAAATCAGGTTGAAAATTGCATGAATGAATCATCAGACGATGTCTGGCTCATTTCTTTGTTTTTACTTCTGGTCTTTCTGAGGTCTATGACGTTGGTGCTACATTCTGCAGGAGCAAAATGCATCTGTTGTTATTTCTTATTTATAAATAATGCAACAGTTTCTAAGACTTTCAGTTTTGAATATAAGATTTGAATATTGTTCATGTTCAAAGGAATAAGCCTTATTGAAGGAAAGGCTAGTTGGTCTCATTAGCACCAGACCAGAAACAAACTGCTAACACATATAAAGTATTTACCTGATGGAACAATAAGGAAGGCTTGATGCAGCACTGTTTTTTGTGTGTTTATTTATTTATTTATTTATTTGCAGCATGTGGCTACACATAAGAGCAGACACAGTAACTAAGGATTTGTCTTTTTAATTAAAACAAAAACACTCAGCATTATTTTCTGTCTCACCTTCATCCTACAGCAAACTGTATAAATCTGTAGTATGTAACTTTTATAAAAAAATATATATATATACATATGTATGTATATATATGACAGCAGATAAATGGGTTTTCTATAAAGCTGTTTCTCTGCCATTAGCACATGTAGCAGCACATTCGCAAGGTTGATTGACTGCGCTAAGACCCTCCTCCTAGCTCTGATTTGTTTGCATTTCTTCAGACGGCAGTGGTCGCCCAGAGATCAATCTTTTCACAAATTATCTGTCTCATCCTACACTGTCACAACATGGTTACATTTTTAACAAATAAGTGAAAAACATATATTTTTGATAAAAGTTACATATTGCAACTTCAATGAAGAGAACATTATTAGGCATCAGCAGCCACACAGACATAAAAGGTTAGGAAGCAGTGGCTACAACAGCAAAGAGCAGAGAGGAATATTAGCGATATAGAGCACAAAATGAACTGAAATAGCTCCAAGCAATAAGGCCGAAGCGCACTGCATGTGATCAGCTTAAACATTTTAATGTGAACTATATTTACATGGTGTGTGGAGTGTGCATGTCTGTGCTGCATCATTAATAAATGCAAGATGGGTCTCCTTACCCAGACGTCCTCTCCGGATCTGGTCGGGTGAAACCGGGCGGAGCTTCCTCTCAGCCTTGATCTCCTCCAGGATCCGCTCATGCAGGGTCGGTGGAGGCTGAGTCTGAGGCTTCAGCTTACGAGCCGACACCTGACAGAGGATAGATGGAAAAAAAAAAAAAAAAAAAAAACACTGACATGAAGGGTGTATGAACTCCAGGCAGAGGCGGTACCTCTGCAGCTTCACGAATTAAATAATCCCCTCAACAGCGTCTGCTGGTCTTGCTGTCAGAAGGCTACAAATATCAGTATCAATCTATGTTTGTTCAGTACTAATTAAATCTATTATATTCAAATTATAGATTGTCTTTTTTAATTAGTAGTGAGAGATTATGCTATGGCGGTAAAAGATTAATTTATCTTAAAGCTTTTTACACCTCTTTACTAGGGTTGCCAATAAATGCGCCTGGGCATGAGACGTCCCTGGCTGTGGGCCAAGAAGCCACTTGTACTGAATGGAGCCGTTTCACATGGACGCTCACTGTTTCCTACAGATAAAGACCGATCTGTGCTTCCTCACAAGAATTTTTCTGTTTCATCCTGAAGTCCGCAGCGCTTCTTTTTACTCACAGGATTAAGTGGCGGTCTGGACCTGATGAACTCCAGGATGACTTCATGAGCGCTTTTCTTTAACCTCGGTGGGATGTCTCCATTAACCTGACGGAACAAAGCAGACTCACACGCTAACCAAACCCATCATGTTGTAAAGACACTTATTTATAGGCAAAAAAGGAAAACCAGGGAAAGGCCCCCATTGGTTGCACCAAGGCTGAATGTTTGGCTAATTCTCAAAGAAATTATCCAATAAGGATGCATTCACACCAACCCTGTTTAGTCCGCTTCAATCAAACTCTTTAATAAAACTAGTTTGTCTGGAAAGTTCATTTGGGAATGTGATTAAACTCTGATGTGGACCAAAAAAGAACACTCTGGTGCACCTACAAACCTGGGCATCAGTGAGGTTTGAATGGCAAGTGGATCAGAGGCCGCTCCAAAGGCAGGAAGTGGATTATAGCGCAGGGTATTCTGGGTAATTACAACCTAAAAAAAACACATGAGTGTGGTGGAGAAGGCTTGTGGTCTTTTACCAAAGACAAAAAAGAAAGTCTCATGTCTTTAGAGGTTTTCATGTCCTTTTCTCCAGTGGTTCTTGAAAAACTACTGAAGGAAACAACACAAAAAAAAAAAAAACTTCCTTCACAAAATGTAAAGAAAAGCAGAGTGGCGGCAGATTTTAGTGGTTGTAGGATTTTTACTTTTTCTCTCTGGTAAAAGACTGTGAGCCATGTGTCCCTGCTGAGCTAGACTCGTTTTGTCTGTATTTACCCAGAATACCCGGCGATATAATCCACTTCCTGCTTTTGGAGTGGATTCCAGTAGAATAAATATATGCATTGGAAACGCGCTAGAGTTCACATCAATCGAACTGAAAACGTAGGTTTGTAGGTTGACCAGAGTTCAGTTTTTAGTGTGTGTCAGAGTTTGATTACAGATTCACACCAATATAAATGAACCGAACTTTCTAGGCACATGAACTATAGTTTGATAAAAGCGGACTAAACCGGACTGGTGTGAATGCACCGTAAGAGGCATGTCTGCAGGGTTGATCTCAAGGATTGTTTTCAGGACCAACCATGACTTTGCGCAGCTTGTAGCGTTTGGACCTGATGTCGTCCATGAGCATCTCATAAGGAGTAAGCTGGTACTCGATCGGCAGAGGGTTGTACTGACGCTCCTGTACCTTCTTCAGCTTCACTCCTTCACGCAGGTCCCTCATCACCTGCACCCAGAATCGAGCCTGGCAAAGAGAGCAAGCATTTGTTCCACTAGTTTCTGTCCAGCACGTCGGGCCGCATAAATGTTGTCTTTTTGGATGCAGAGCCATAATTCAGGATGATAAGGACAATATAAATCTGAGGTAAGAAGTGTGGTTTCCCACCCAGTCGGCGTTCTGCAGCTCGTTGAGGTCTCGGCCCGGCTCCTCTGAGGTTTCCTTCTCCATCTTTCGGAGGTTCTGTTGAAGGATGAGAAAGGATTTGTGCAATCACAGTTCTGAATCCACTCAGGACTCAGGCTGGTCTTTACCCCTCAGGAGAAAACACATATCCTGATTCCAGTTGATAAAAGAAGGCTAAGGAGCTTTGATGAATGCTGACTTTATAGTTTTATACTAAAGAGTTCAGGAATCTGAGAACATTTGTTCAATAGGAAAAAAATACCACATGACAAAATTTCTAGAAACATCTGAAAAGCAATCTATGACTTTGTTTTTGTGATGTGACATGAAAGTTACTTTCATTTGACCACTAGGTTGAACAGGGATTTATATTTATTTTGTAACAAGTAAGCAGGACATAAACCAGGTAAAAAAAAAAAAATCCTCCAAGGCTCACTGTTGGAGATCTGCAGCAAACAGTGGGACCTTGGGGCCACCAAGTCTCCACAGCAATGATGAGATGCAAGCTAAATCACAACAAGAATAAACATTTCTGTCCCTTATTTCCAAAAACAAACAAACAAAAATAAACGTGAAGTTTGCTCAGCGATTGGGAATTTATCTGGTAAGGTATGGAGAGGTATCTATAAAGTTGTGCACCTGCTAATCTCCCAAATTTAGAAATAGCGATAGTTCTAAAGCTAGATTTCAGTTTTAGAACTAAAAAAAAATTATGACACAGATATGTTTGTTCAGTCGAATAATGAACCAACAAATAAGGCCGAACCAATGCAGAACTGGTTAACCAGAGAAGCCTGGGACCACAGGAGAGGAGCCAGGACTAAATGTTAAAGAAGACGACTCCGTGGTATTCTACTGATAAAACAAGGAAAGGACAGTTTTTCTTCAAAAGTTGTTGAATTGATTCTATGCACTTAAATTAAAGGCTAAAAGCATGTTGTGTAGTTTGCAGATACATCATAAAAACAATTCATTTAGAATTTTACCCTTTCATGTAATTTGTTTGACTGGGACGAACAAAGTTCTCACGTGACTTCCAGCAGAAATGAACCAACCAGTCAGACTGAGAGGTGTGTGTGTGTGTGTGCGTGCGTGCGTGTGTGTGTGCGTGTGCGTGCGTGTGTGTGTTTTCAAGCTGGCGCAGCCTGAAATGGTTTTTGCCAAGCATCAATCTCTCCCGTCTGGATGAGTCCTGACATCCAAAGCTGCCTGCTCAGTTCACTGCTATTTAAGGCAACGTTTCCTCCATTTGCACTGTTTTAATGCAGCTTCTTTTATTACAGCTCAGCGTGTGCTTTATAATTCTCTACTGTTCCCTTTTCTGCGATGTCTTAAATAATAGACCAACAAATTACTCTTTATGACTTTTTGTTTCAGTTTTTATGACTTATAAGGACACAAATCCATCTTTGAATTAATTCTGCTAATATTGGAAAAAACAGCACAATTACAAAATTGTAATTGTGCTGTTTCCACTAAATAAGAAATTAAGTTAAACTTACACGTGTGCACACTTATTCAAGTCATTACAAATCACGACAGCCACAGATGTAAACAGTCACATAAAATGTGTCCACAATTCAGCCGCTTGTGAAAACACCAAATAGTGTTCACCAGACAGATAAAAGATCAGGGTACGTTGCGGTGACACCCAGCTGCCTCTGTGTTTCCAGACAGTCAACAGTTCAGTTGGCTCACCTCTGTCTTCCTGACACTTATGTGAACCTGCACAACGGGCGGCCATTGCGGTGTTGTAAAATACTGCCGACCTGACAGCGGTTCTGTGGGAAACGCAGGGCTGATCTGCATTCCTCGCTGCCTGCTCCGTTTCCAACAGGAGAGGTCACTGTTTGTGTGCGCATTCACGGGCAAAAGAGAGGGCGAAAAAAACGTGTGAGAGGGTTCTAAAGTAGCGGGGCGGACATCCAAAGTGTTGCCTCTGGTTAATATTTGTGGAGAGGAATTGTTCTGGTCACATAATGACGCAGCAGTGAAGGAGTCACAAGGGGCCGCTCGGATGACTGCAGAGTAAAAAGCAGAAAACAAGGCCAACCAGGAAACAGCCGACTCCACCGGCTGATCATAAAATGTCCAAGCATCAAATCAAAACACACCTAATCTATTCAAGAAGGAACAAAAACAGAGATCAGCTTCATTTCTTCAGACCTGAACAGAGAGAATGCCGCCACCAAAAGGCAGTAGTTTGCACACTTGGTACGAATATATAAACAAATCTCAGTTTGTAATCTTTTCCATAATTTAGCTACAGTATCTCAGTGCTGGCAATAATGCTTGTGTACGTGCTGCTCACATCGCTCTCCGTTTGGTGCCTGTGTGACAATAATGATAGAAAAGCAGCCAAACGTCACAGGAAAACTAACAATTTCTCCAGTTCTCTGCAGATTCATCTGCGGGGGTGGGGTTGTGGGCAAAAAGGGGACGGGGCCTGTAAGGTGTGCTGGTTCACATTTTCAGTCTAATCAGATTTCCCTACTGCAGCTCTACCAGTGCTCTGTGAGACACTTAAAGCTTGAAATAGCGTTTCATAATCCAACAATGTTTCCAGCCTCCAGGAAACTGCAAAACAGCTGAAACTCTGAGATTCTTTAAATCCAGATTTCAAACCCATTTGTTTAGAGCTGCCTTTCATTAGTAGTGCGTGAAACAATGATCAACATACTTGACGTGCACTTTATTGATTATTTGAGAAAATGCTTCATGATTGATGTCTGCATGATGCTTTCATGACATAAAGCCTTTTGAATTGCCTTGCTGCTGAAATGTGTCATATGAATAAACTTGACTTGACATAAACTTCTCCCTGAACTTGTCCTCGAAGTTGTTTGTGTCGTTCGGTTTTTTTAAACCTCTTGATCCGTCAAAGAACAGCCAGACCTCAGTCACTGACTCTGCAGGCAGCTGGCTGCACTTGATTTATTTCGGGGTATCACAGTAAAGCCAGGGCAACCTTTTTAGATTTCTATTTGTAAAAACAAATTGAAAACTACATATCGTTCGCATCGCAATTATGCACTACTTTATGTCGGTCTGTCACATGAAACCCCAATAAAATGCATTCATGTCTGTGTCTGTAATGTGGTGTAAAATGGAGCAGCCTGTTCTTATTTTAAAATGCAGCGAAGGAAATTAACGCCTGCGGTTTATGTGGAGCTGTAAACACAGCAAAGGTGATTACTTCCACACACAATGACTGCAGTCTCCGACTTCCCTTCCTCTAAAGCTTCTTTCTCAGTGAGTTATGCAACCGTCCAAATCTCCTTCACTCACTCAGATGGATTTCAAGCACTTAAAGGGCAGCGGCGTGTGGCAGGAGGGAACCCTCAGGTGGAAGCCGCTCATGGGCCGATACTTCACCAGCTGCGCACTCCAAATAGCTCCGGAGGAGAAACAAAAGTCTAAGATTACTCTGCTTGGGTTGGAGAGTGACAAGGCATGAGGCCTGGTTGAGAAATAAAACCACTAAAACCAGGCAGAGTGGCTAAAAACAGGCAGACTGTGAATTTGAAAAAGGAATGTGTCGATAAGGTTTCTGCAATGAAAGAATCGCACTGTTAAAGCGGTGATTGTTTGGGAAGACTCCGTCGAGCAGAGAGCGTCTCCATGTGACTGCTGTGACTCACAGATCAGCGTCTGTAATAAGAAACGACCTGAACAGACTATTCAATGTGGGACGGCAATGTTCTGTGGTTCGTCAGCTAACTGCAAAATTACAAACAGCAAACGACAACAGCAGCCGCAGCAGCGTGTGATTGTTTTAATCACAACTAACTGAATCAGTCAGGAAAACTTGACCTTTTGCTGGGATGACAGTCGGCATGTCAGCACTTCACGTCAGCGATGTCTGATGTGTGGAAAGGGTGCGTCGCTATAGCTTTTTATGTGACTCAATAGGGCTGCAGAAATAGAACCTTCAATACAACAGTTGTGTGCTGAAGTAGTATTTTATCCATCACATTGGAACAGTTTTTACCTGCATACCAAATCGCATCAATCAATCCAGTACTTTGTGCTTCAGCCAAAATTTACACAAAATCCCCTGACTTTTTTTGCACTAATATATAATTGAGTTTATTGTAAATTAAGTCAAAGACATTGAGCAAGTGTCCATTGAACTCCCACCTGCAGGTGGCAGTATTCCTAACTTCTTCTACTCTGCTGCCTTACTCATGATGTCTCCACGATCGATATGACAGGCAGCAAAAAGTGATGTTGCCGACACACATGAGCACAAATATCGCAAAATTTCTTGCAAATATTTCAAAACTTGTTTTACAAAAAATAGAATTTGAGTGCAACCCCCCCCCCCAGAAAAATAATTTAGTAACTCAGGATGAAAAGATGTTCGATATCGTTTAGCTTTAAGAAGTACTTATCGACTGTAGACATATCTATTAATTAATATTTAACAGTTTGTCAATGAGTATCAATACATTCTGAGAACATTTGTGATTGAGATACAAACCTAATTGAAAATGAGTTTGACATTCCAGATTTAGAATGTTCAGTTTGACTTTTCAGAGAAAGTAAGACTTTTTTTTCTTCTTTTTACTTTTCAAAAGTTTAAAAATTATCTAGTTTTTACTTCCAAAGAACAAAACCTGCAGCTGCCTAAAACAGTAGTGACATTATTATGAAGTGAGCATTGCGAAAGAGATTTAAAGTGTATTCCTGCATGTTTTTAAGTGATGAACAATGCATAAAATAAACAGAAAGGACATAAACAGCATGTTAAAGCTGTGACTGTTATGTCATGAATAATCTCGGATGATCTCTAATGTCTGCGTTCCATTCATTTCCGTTCCATTCATTTCTTTCCCTCCGGTCATAGATTTTTGTCTCCATCAGCTGACCGACGGTTTTAGCTCTGACAAGAAGAAAACTCGGCAGCCATTTCACTGTGCCTGGGATGGAAGGAGGTGGGAAGGAGGAAGAACGGCAGGGTCAGACAATTTCCTTGCCCGTGCCTTTAAAACATGACTACAAATCCTGATGAAAGTCCCCCCAAAAAAAAATAAAAAACTAAGAAATGTTGGATAGGAAAATATAACCAGATGTTATTCTTTATTTACAAGATAAATAAAGTTGAAACATCAGGTTTTATCAGAGTTTGAGATGGTGCGGCAATAATTTTCTACTTTTTTCTCACCTCTGTAACGTTTGAACGTATCAGAGTTCTTTAACTGCGGCTGACCTTGCAGAACGTAATGAACACAGAGCCGCGATGATGAAGCCTCACCTCTTTGGCACTCTTGATCTTCTCCAGGAAGGTGCGCAGCTCCCTGGTTTCTGTGTACAGAGCTCGGCACACTGCCTGGTAGTGACTCGGAGCGTCCGACACGCTGGGAAGATGGGCCGTGCACAGCTGCAAACATGGGGGTACTTTTAGTGTACAGGTTGGAAAGTCAGGCAGGACAAGTACGGCGATTTCAGAACGTTATGTTGCATGAATGGCACATAAAACTAGTGATGTTCAGGATGGGTTAACTCAGGTTTCTAATTAACTAATCAGTGCACTTGCTTTTCTTCCACCCAAAACTTCCCCACTTTTCTCTCCCTCTCTTACAGCATCAATATCTAAATAACCACTTCTCGTAAATATAAATATATCAGTTACTACACACTGCGCGCTTCGAGTTAGACGTCCAGAATGTAATTATGGAGTGTGAACACATGGCAACTGAAATGTAATAGGCTAATAAACATTTTTGAAGTTGTGTTTTGCAATATTTATCTGCTATTGCGATATTTAGCACACGGCGCGGAGCTGCAACAAATCATTTTAGCAATCAATTATTCAATAAATAAATAATGACCTTTCTTCTACATACTTTATGGTGAGGATATCTTGAAGAAAATACTGAATTTGGTTCCATTTTTCATCCATAAAAAGTAAAGGTTAATAACTATTAATAGTGTCACCTACGATTGATACAGTAGGACAAATACTGCGAGGGGAGAGATATCAAAACGTTTTGAACTGACAACTGGTCGTCCATCAGGCTGGCCAGCATGTCACTCTGCTCCAGCATGTCAGGCACCATTGGAGTATCAGTGGCTTTGTGAGTTTGCCCGGTTATTTATCCAAAACAGCGTGAGGCCATGTAAGGAAAGATTACAAGGCCTCACTCGCTGCTCCAACAGTTGCCACAAATACAGGACTCCAAGGGAGGAAGACCATGTGTTTCTAATGTCTGTGTTTACAGTGTCACACTTTTCCCTCGGCTATTCCTCAACAGTTTCCTGGTTGCGAGTGAAATTGGTGAGACAAACGATTCTCAAAAACTCTCATCAGGCTTTGAATTTTAAAGATCTGAGAGAAAACACATCCTGAACAGAAGAATCGGATCATCCACATAAAGTACCCACCATGTTTTCAGAATGAACATTTTTTAAAGATGTCCTTGAGAGAATCCTGAAAGTAAACATCTTTTTAATTACATTTTTACACTTGATATGTTCTATGACCACGTTAGATAAGATCAAAGGCCTCAGCTATGTATTCCAATGACAGCAAGGAAATGACAACTGGATGAAGCCCAACTCACCAAATATAGATCACTGGATATAAAAATTAAACATGTTGATACAATGATATGACTAAGTACTAAACTAGAACTGAAAGCTGATAAAAACAGATTGAAATGTCAACTCAACGTTGTTATAAATTAATGCTTAAAGTGGTAAGCCTTCGTAATGTCCTCCGCAAATGAAACTGGTGCATCTGGAACAGTTTGGATTCTTTTTGCCGCTGACCTTCAGGATATCTCTGTAGCTGTGAACGCTGCAGATGCTCCGATGGCCATCGTCCGTTTCGTCCTCTTCTTCTGTGGCCTCGTAGCCTTCGTCCAGGCAGGCCTCCTTCTCGGCCTCGGCCGAGTTGGTCATGAGGTCGATGAGCTGCTCCAGCGGAGGACTGAGTTCCCTCTCCTCGTTTTCCTTCAGACCGAAGTCCAGAGCCTTGTAGATCATGATGCCCAGGGACTCAATGACCTGCAGGGATGTGTCAAATATTCATCTCTCGGTTTTATTTACGGTGCAGAGATTTCATGCTTCCCCGTGTTCGTTCAGGGTTCTCTGTCTCAAAGTTCAAAACCGTGACTCACCCATAGGATGCATGTCTCACTCCTCAATCATTTATGTTTGTGTTTTGGTCACTTTCTTGTCATTTATGTTTCTATCCTTCCATTATTATTACTCAGCAGGTTTTCCCATGTTCTGTTTAGCCTTGATTTATAGGTCTTGCTGTTTTCATTACTTTGTATGAACATTTATTCTTGTTTTCTGTTCTTTGTGCTTTTAACCTGAAGTACCATTACAACTAATTTACATAGTTGCTTTTTTCTCTTTCACAGATAATAAATGATTGATTCAAAATGTAGGATGACCTGTCCTCTAAAGAAACATAAAACATAACAAAACACCAACACTTTTACTCAGTTTGGAAGGACATTTGTAAGTTAGCTTCATTTTACTAGGCTGTCTTGGTGGAATCGAAGAGCCATGGTGGATAAAGCAAGTACTGCCAGAGAAGACGAAGGACAGGAGTGAAAAATCACAGATGGGATTATTTTGCAACCCTAAGCGCTGAGAAATAACTGGGAAGAATCAGGGACAGCATATAAAGCACTGATGGAAGTAAATGGCGGCGTGAGAAACAGTGTGCTAAAGTGACAGAGTAAAATATTAAAGAGCTTTTACGTTGTAAATACGCCAGGAGGTCGTTTTTAATAAAGTGGTGAATAATAGCATGAAAACAAGCTGATTTATCGGTGAGGCCAAAGACAAAGGTTCAACATCAAGGGAAGGAAAGATCATAACAAGCACCGGCGTGAGCGTTTGTGTGGGTGAGGGTGTGTGTATGTGGACGGAAAGGTCAAAGGCAAAGCGAGGGGGGAGGAGTCATGTGAGCTTTTTTTTTTTTTTCTTTCCAGTCACTACATCCCAGCTGGGTTTCCTCAGGGGAGAATCAACACAAAGATGACAGCATGATAGATTTGGCAGCTTGTGCTGCCCTGCCCACAGCAGTGACTGGTGCTTAGTGATGGGCAACTAGATTTTCAGACTCCTGTCTCTTATCTTTTCTTTTCCTCAGCTGTTCCAAATCACTTTTGATGGTTCCGAGGCTCAAGTTCGAACCGACTGCAAAACATGTAAGGGCAAATCCTCGTGACTGCAAAACATTCAACCCTGAAATTCCCCCCCGACTGGTTCCCAGGCTTGCAAGCGACCAAGCGGAATGATGGGATGGAAAGGAAGAAGGGGTGAATGAAAAGAGAAAGACAAGAATGAAAAGGGGGTGAAAAAAAATTGGGATGTTAACCAAACGGGATTTGGCATGGCTGCAGATTAGCAGCAGCGGCAACGTCCATCATGTCGAGGCCGAAACCAGATCAAACAGGTTGGGGTTAAGACGTCTTTCCATCACATATGGTTTTTGATTTCAGGTCTATTCCAAACATAGACATAAATGTTTCACATATTTTACATAAAAATATGAAAACGTATTGTTCTCTTATGATAATTGTATTACGATATTTAAATCATCAATAAATCATAGAACGCTGAGAGAAAAGTATGTCAGCGCAATAATCGTTGAATAATAACGTGTCATGCGCAAACATAAGTCATTTCCACTCAGGCAGGAACAAATGCTCCCTCATATAATTCCTCCTGACTCCTGACTCTGCTGCCATGACCCACCGTCATATGAGTGAGTCACGTCTTTAACACACCGACACAACATAAATATTCTAAATAACTATCCTCCACCACTTCAGACTGTCTTTTCACCTTCATTGTCCGCCCTGAGAAAGCATTCATATTCCATCAACCGTTTCATATTGTTTTCGACTCACGATCACAAAACTCGATGCGTTTTATCAAAACAAAACAGAAACACATGAGACCAAAACAAAAGCCTTTTGGTCAATGTGCAGAGAGTGACATGAAAACATGACAAAGCAAAAACAGGGCAACTTAGAAATGTACCAGGATGATGTAGTCAAATACAAATGTGAAATTGTGGCAAACATGCACATTTCTGTTCACAGATCCTCATTGTGAAACCATTATTTTATTATTATTATTGTTGTTATTGTTATTATTATTATTATTATTAATTTCTTTATTTTTCTTGGAATGCAGATGAGTGTAATTTGTGTTGGGATTAATGGGCAAAAATAACCTGTGGATGTTCAAAACCATGTGAAAATCTTGCAGCAAAAGATTGTTCCACAAAATAATGGCACAGAGGGGAGCTGATTAAAATCAGAGCTGTCTTTGCTGTTTTAGTTTTCTAATGATTCATTTAATAAAATATTTTTGTTTGCATTGTTTGTTCAACTTAGGAAAAAATAAGTATAGTTTATTCATTTGTTTCATTATTATTATTATTGTCAATGTTATTTTACTATTTTTAGTAATCTATTAATCTATCGCTTATTCTGATGACTAATCAAATAATCAGATTTTTTTTTAAACTGGCACATTGTGCAAACCTTTCTTTTATCCATTTAAGCAGGGCTGCAACTAATCATTTTAGGTTACTTATTAATCTATAGATTATTTTGAGAATTAACTGATTAATCAGGTAAAAACAAATAGCACATTCTGCAGATATACTGATATCAGAAATACACTGAAAGATGCAAACACATAAAAATTCTAATCATTTTTAAATGAGAAAATAAACATTTTATTGTCTGAAGTACAACACAAAAGCTTTACTGCATTGTCATTTGTAGCAAAGGATTCACCTGCAGCTAAAACAAACCTCTAACTTCACCATGTAACAGCTGATCAGCGCAGGGCTGTTACTAATCTGGTGATTAGTTTTTGGATTGATAATTGAAAGGCAAAAGATGCTTAGAAAAAGATCTATTTTTTAACACAACTTGAACACAACTTGAACAACCTCAAGAAGCTGTTGTTCTTTCAGCATGTTTTAGAGTCTGATTGATTGCTACATTAGTCGATGACTATTGCGATAAAATCCTTTCCGCCCTTGTACAAATGCATGCCAAGCAGATGCTTGTCTGCAAAGTGACAACAGTGTCGGCAACGACATCTCCGTTAAAAACCGCAAACAATCATTGTCACGTACATCTGATTAAACGAAAAACCGATTAATAAAAATATGCTGATTTTTTTTTTCTTCATTAATAAACAGAAGCTCTAGTGATTACCAGACAAAGGGCCTTATGTACCCCCACTGCATCCGTGAACCCGGCTCATATGCTACGGAGAAAAAAAAAAACCACATCATCTGACATGCAGCATCACTTTGCATGAGTTCCTGCTGTTTTAAGCCATGTGCAGATAATGTGTGTCAGCTCAGTCTAAACAGGTCTTCCTGTTCATCCAGCTTTGGGTGGATTCCACGCTCTCTGCCTTCAGCGCCATCGAGCATCGAGCAACTCCGCCGACTTGCCAACGTAGTTTTTCGTCAGCCATTCTGCCACGAAACGGGCCATTGTGAGAACTGATTTCTGGTGCAAAGCTGCTTAGTGGGGATTTTGTCTATGCGGTTTCACATTCCCTGCTTCTCCAGCGGGGCGGAGGCGTGTGCGCCCAAGTTATTTACCGGCTGCCCATCTGTTACGCAGCAGTTCTTTATCTAGATTCAACCGGAAAGCTTCTGTACACCATCCACCAGGAGGAGACAACAAAAGTTATGAATTCGTCAAACCCTCTGTTGACTGGATCGAGATGCAAGCGATTTTAACGGGGTTTTGCCCGTGGTGATTCTGCTGCAGAGTGTTGACTCTGATCCTGATGTAACGTTCCAAAAAATGACCGCCACAAACACCAATAAATAACTTTGGAAACAATTAGCACAGAGTTTACCAGCAAATTGGAAGTAAAGACAGATTTATGACGCCTTTTAATTAGTTTCATTTTTCCCCCTCATTGCTCTTATTGAGCAGGAGGCCCTGATGGGTGAGATTCCTAACCAGTTAATCAGAAATACTAGCTGGGGCTCTAATTACGAGGAAAAAATGTCCATATCCCTTATCCTAATAACTTATGCCTTGTGAAAACAATATCAGCAGATAAGCTTGTGGTAAACAAAACCACCATGTGCTATGTTTATTCAATTTAAACACTGGGGTTGTTTTTTCTATCACGCAGAGTTTGGCTTTTCCTGGTCAAGTTTTGGCTTAGACTTGACAACATTTGAAAGTTCAGATCATTTAAAAAAATTAAAATAAATAAAAAAATTAAAAAGTAACAAGCTTTAAGTAAGTACACCATTCTTTCTACTGCAACTATAATGGCATACTGAGAGCAAAATAAAGCTCGGTTATTCCTCACTATTGACAGAGAAAGGGGAAAACTCAAAGTTTAACTCCAGGAAGGCAGAAGGTTAACTTCTGTTGGTTACTTTATTTAATGTTTTTGGAAATCAGTTTAAATCTGCTGGTTTTAGAAAGCTTGATTAGAAAACCCACTGTTTAAGATTAATTACATTTTGTCCAAAGGAAATTAATGAACTGTTATAAAATAGCATTAATTCGTCTATACCAGGCATGTCAGTCAAGAAGGTATATTTTCCAGTCATATGCTGAATATCAGCATTTTTTCTGGCGACTAGAGGGTAAATTAATAAACATTTTGTTCCAGTAGATATACTGATAGACTATTTATTACAGTTTCTCCTATTCCTAATGCAACTGCTCCTGTTGAGGATGTAACTAGCAAATGCACCTGCTGCTTCCAGCTCTGCAGTGTCAATGTAATGGAAATGATAATAATGCCATCTTTGAAATGGTTAAGGCAGCCATTTAAAAGATCTCTGTCAACAGCCACACATTGTTCCTTTGACAACCCATGGCAGATACTGCAAAACTTCAAGAACAAAGACATTCGCATAATACACGACCACACTTCTGCAGGTACATATGTACAGCAGGATAACAGTAAAGTTACTCACCTCAGTTGTTGTGCAAGGGCTGCGTTTACCTGCAAAGAGAACGAGAAAGCAGTGTAAGCTCAAACCCCAAATAACAAACTCACAGCAAGAAAACCAGCACTGGGTGGTCACTGAGTCATTCATGACAGCATTTCTGCAACAGCTTTAGTCAGACTCCATCGTCTTTTAAACGATAATTTCCTGGTTTAGCATGAATAAATTAACTGTTGTAGAGCTAATGAGCACCAACAGCCAAAAAGAGATAAGCTTCTTCAAATACATTGATATTAGCTTATATTGCTAGCTCACTAGCGCAGTTGGGAGAACTGTTGCCTCCTGGGTTTGATTCCCGGGCCCGGAGTCTTTCTGCATGGAGTTTGCATGTTCTCCCTGTGCATGCGCGGGTTCTCTCCGGGTACTCCGGCTTCCTCCCACAGTCCAAAAACAATGACTGTCAGGTTAATTGGTCTTAACTCCGACTTTCAGGGCTTTTCTCCAACGTATATCCCAACCTCTCAGTAAAGATGGAGTCCATTTTCAGATTGCGCCCTTCAACCAAACATGCAGTGCAGATAGATAAAAATATTTCTTCTTCACGCTCCCTTTGTTTAAAAGTTTTTAATAACATAGCCCAGCAACCTGTCAAAGTTAAGCAACATTTCACTTCATTTTCCCCGTCACCTGTGGACGCACTTGGATCAAACCCATTTCTGAATCCTTTAAACATGTAAAACTGTGACTAACAGCCGATCAATATCTGTATTGAGTTCTTAGAGAAACACATTTCATATAATAGCTATTTTTTTGCCATTTATATTCATTCTTAAACTTACACTGCACAACATTTGTTGTGGTAAAGATAGACTGGATAAAGAAATAAAAAAGAAAAATCATGTCATAAAAGCAAATTTTGAAAATTACAGGTTGTTTAAAACTGTTGCTCATTATAAGATGACAAAAAGAAAAATACTCAACTGAAAAGTCACATTTCAATGGCTTGAGAAGGGAGTCAGGATTTTTATGGTCATATCATTTCACAATTGCTTGCTTGTGTTAACAAAATTGAACTCAGATCCCAGATGTGTAAATAAATAAATAAGGAAAGTTGCCTATAAATACTTCTACTAATTGGCAGTTCAAGTAAAGGAACCGCAACATCTTCTTAATGTTGCGGTTCTTATTAATTCTAGTGCCTTTTCTATGCTTCTCATTAAACTCCTTCACTCAAACCTCCCTGTTTGGTTAATGTCTTTGTGCAAATGGGACCTGCTTTTATTTGTTCAAATTTCTTTCACTCTAATCCAGGGGTGTCAAACTCCAGTCCTGCAACTTTTAGACAGACCTCTGCTGCACTACACCTGAATAGAATAATTAGGTCATGGGGAACTTATCTAGACAAGGAGGTGGTATTTAAGCCATTTTATTCCAGCGTTTTGTACTTGTGGGACATCTAAAAACTGCAGGACTGTGGCCCTTGAGGACTGGAGTTTGACACCTCTGCTCTAATCGTTTAATCGGTTTGAGCTGCATGTGATCCGTGATGACAAAACTCTTCCCAAGAACCTTTGTGTTCCTCCTTCAAAAGAAAGACACTTCAGCAACTTCTCCAGGCTACGTCTTTGACTTCATGACCAAACAAGCAGTTGGTAGATGTTCCTCCGAACAAATAGCTCCTTTGTATGATAACCCACAGTAAAGCATCACCAGATTGTCAGTGACATCACCGGGACATCAACTTGAATCAGCAGATTACAGGCCACACTCCTGTCAGGTGTAGCACTGCATACTTCTGTCGTTTTAATAAACTTTCTATAATATGTTTGCTGAATATTATCTGGATAGACATGGCACAAAGTGCATGTGAAGATAAAAACAATTTCAGATCAGATTTCTTCCGTGTTTGCTGGGGGGTTTTTGTGGGTTATTTGGCACAGTAAAAATGTTCCAGATCATCAGAAATGAATTATAATTACAAAAGGCCCAGTCTGAAAAAGTAAAACACAACTGAATCGTGAAAAAAAAAATGTTACTAGCAAAAATGAATGGCCACTCAGCAATCAGAAAGAGCGTTTCCTCTTATATTTATTTGTTTCAAGGAAATTTTAGATATATATATTATCTCTAGTGAATTATTTGGAAAATATAGATGCTGTGCTCCGAAGTGGTCCTGGTACCAAGCATTAGTTTTGATCGCTTTCTTTCTTTAATAAGTGAAATTGTACTTTAGAGCAAACAACAGTTTATTTCCTCAAATTATTCCTATCTGATATTAAAAACCATTTAAAATCTAAAATATTTAAGTGGGACAAAAGAAAAAGAAAACAAAGATAAGACAGGAGCGCTACAGGACTAGAAAGACTTTTTCACAGCACTATGGGAAATTTCGGTCGACGCCCAGGTATAAAATATGTCGTTTTGAATAGAAACAGAGGTTAGATTAGCAAATAAGAGATTTAAAGCTCCTAACAGCACTTTGTATTGATTTGTCTAATTATGTACACGACTGACTCTGATTAGCGAAGCTGCTGTGTAGAAGAACAGTGCAGCACTACTGAAGACTATCAATAAGTGGCAATTAAAACGACTACTTGTGCAAGAAACGGAGATTTCATTGATACACGTGAAATGACAAAATTTACTGAGTTTTATGTGATGTTATTCCTTCCATGTTTAACTCTACTTATTAGGGGGACGGCTAGAATATCATGAGGCTGGCGGGGAATAAAGTGTCTAAAAAGTGAGATGAAAATATAAATGCAAAGTCTGAGACTGAAAAAGAACAAACTTAACATGAGCGTGTAATGTTGCTAACGACTGCGTACCAGTGAGGCAGTCTTGCATTTAATTCAGTGGACAATCTAAGAGTTGCAGGTGTGGAGGGTGGTGGTCTGAAACAATGATTTGGTACACACCAACAAATAAGCAAACGAAAATGCCTCAAAAACAACTGGATTAAGGTTTTGGGGAGGCCTAGTCCAAGTGGCGTGGCATTTCACCCTCCCTAGTGTGCCTATATTAAACCAATTCTCCGCAGATTAGTGGGTCATCATTCCTCCTTAGAGATGAAAGAGTCGTTGCTAATGAAGCCCTGGAGCGCAGATGGTGCCACTGAGGGTGGCCGAAGCAGTCCTTAGGGTCACAGGGCACTTGCTTTGTGCAGGTCGACCTGCGTCGCTCGTTTCCCCTCAAACAAATTCAATTATCATTTTGAAACTGCTCCCCGTGTTTACCCAACTTTATCCTCATCTGGTATTAAAACGTGTTTCTTGATCTGAAAATGTGACCAAAGGAAAAAACATAAAAAAGAAAACAGAAGAAATCTGTAAGGGAGCAAATACTTGGTGTGTGAACCAAAGAAAAAAAATGACACAGGTGTCTATCTTTTGCATTATTACACAACAGAGAAACACAACATTGCACTCCCCTCTTCAGTGGTTTCTTCCTGGAATCTAAAAATAGCCCATTCACTCCACTCATATGGACTTACAGGCCAACCAGCATCATCATCACAGCTGTGCCTTTCAGATTTGCTCAACCAAGTCGCTTACACAAGACAGGAGGCGCATCTATTGAATCAGACACACACACACACAGCTCAGCTCAGCTGTGTGTGTGATCACAGGTCCACAGCACATGTCTTGGCCCTTTGGAAGCCACCAAGCCTGACAGGCCTTTAGCAGCGTTCAGTCCAGTCTGCACTCTGGGAAGAAACGCCTTGCCTCATTTGAGGCACACCCCAACATCTACTCGACTGCGACTTTATTTGTTTGGAAAACAGTTTTTACCTGAGAAAATGGAAGGTGGCAATAATGGACCTGATCGCCGCGGAAGCGTCACTCCGTGTGGCCCCTCAACCCGATCAGTTCAGCCCTTAATCGCTTCCTGCAATCAGATGGTGATCAGCCTGATCTGATACGAGCCTCCTAATCATGACGAGGTGAAACACGACGGGCGCACACACACACGTGGGGAGGATGAGGATAAACGGGCTCGGTGAGAACCCACCAGAGTGAGAGCGACAGGGGTCCGAGGCTCCTTTGTGCGTCAGACCCCAGTAATGGAGCCTGATGGGCTCTTGGGTTGTTGTTTTCATCCCCACGCGCAAAATGAGCCCAACCTGGGCAGGAGGCTGAGAAACAAGAACTGCTGTGAAATAGGCTTTGTGTGAGCCAACTTAGGCTTTTCCATATGAACATGGGCCTGCCTGGCTGCCTGCCTGGCTGCGCGGTGGTCCTCGCGTTCAAACTGCGCCTCATTATAATAAGCCTGTGATAATAAAGGGGGCAAGAAGCGGATTGATTTCATCTTGACCAGCTGAGCCTGTCATGAATTTTAATTGGGGTCGGGTTGTCGTTTCTTTTACCTTCACAGCCGTGCTGCTCCATCCTCACCGAGCCGTCTTTCTGTATCCTAACATCCCCCGGTCCAGATATCCTCCGCGGAGCCGCCGCCGCCACCGAGGACGCTCCGGCGGCGGCGGCGGCAGCAGGGCTCCCTTTACCCCTGTGGGTCTTCGCCAGCGTCTGGCAGCACTGGTAACACACCGCCCATGCCTGCTCCTCGTTGATGGGCTGGCTGTAAAGCCTCAGTATCTCCTCCAGAGACAGGTCCTCGGCATCCTCCGGTGGATTCATCTCGTCATGGTGCTTCCGTTCAGCCCGGCGAGTCGCTGCTGCTGCTGCCGCAGCATCCGTCAGCACGTCGGCCATCCTTTCATTCTCTCAGCGGAGGAGGCCCGAAGACGAGAGCAGGTCCAGGCCGACGAGACAGCGGCAGTCTGGGGGCATTTGGGCTTCTTTCACAAGGCAGCAGGGCTGACTGCTAATACTAGAAGAAGCACAGTGACTGTTTCCCCACCCGCTCCCCGGCTTTGCTGTCACACGTCAGTAGGTGGCGCCCGAGAAGACCTAACAGAAAACATTGGTCCTGTTTTACTTATGACCACCAGGGGGAGTGCTGTCATTTTTATATATATATATATATATATATATATATATATATATATATATATATATATATATATATATATATATATATATATATATATATATATATATATGTTTTTTATTTTTTTTCTTCTTTATTCTTTATGATAAAAAAATACATATTTTTTATTTTCCCAATGTGGGGAAATTCTGTTGTGTACCAGCAAGAATTTGACAAGGTATAGAGGAATGCAGTCCACTCATTTTCAAACACTTTTCTTTTTCTTTTTGCAGGTTTTATTGTTTCTATTGGCCTTTATTTGAGAGTGGACAGGAAAGAGGGTGATGAGAGAGGGGGAGGGCATGACACAAAGGTTATCACTCATATGACGGCCATGTTGAGGACGAAGGCCTCCATACATGGGCTGTGCTTCCAGGTAATTTTTCATAAAACTGGTTAAAAAACTTATTTCAATTCAAAACAACTAGTGAGTATTAAAGACAGTTCCTCACAAAATAGTTCTAATAAACTAAATGATTTAACGTGTTGTTTTTTAAAATAAATGTTTCCATGGAGACCGCTGTTTTCCAGGTGATTTAATAAAAATAAAAAAAAAAACTGGTTCCAAAACTTATTTCAGATCAAAACAACTAGTCACCATAAAGGTATTTATATTCTTCAAATACCCCACTTCTTCTGTGATGGAAAAAGGGGTTTAATATGATATCTACAATCATATCCTTTATTTTACATTTAAGATTGACCCTCATGAAAGATCATGTTCTAGGACAGAAAATAAAAATGGACGAAGAGCCAATTTAGGTCTAGACCACATTTACACATTTCTGTGATTTTTCATTGGTACACAGAACAGTCACATTTCCTTGCCAAATTGACAATAGAGTAATTCTATGTCTCTTTAAGTCCAGTAATAAGATAAAATAAAATAATCCAAGACAAAACAGTTGGCCACTGTTTAGAAACGCCTATCTTCAACAAACCTCTGACAGCTGCAGTACAGCTGCATTTATACTGAGACTAAATTGCTTGTAGGCAGATTGTATTATTTAAATGACCTCTGAAGTCTATAGATACTGCGTTTTATTCTGGAGTGCACTGTATTACAATGTAGGTCACCCCTCACAAATATTTCTTAAGTTTTGAAAGTGATGCACCTCTTTCCCCTTCATAATTATGTGCAGTTGGCCTATCATATAATGTAAAATACATTGAGGGTTGTGGTCTGAGTGTGAATACTTTTGCGAGGCATTGTAAAACAATGAATACTGTTATAATTTAGTTATTGTCTTTCTCACAATAATGAATTAGTTTTAAAGAGTTCTCGTTTTGTTGCAAAACTTTATTTTTATTTTGTTTTGCTCTTTAAAGAAAATATCTCTCACACAATGATTTGTGCAAGCATTTCCTCAGATTGCGCTCAAAAAAGTTTCACACTAAAGGTATTGGGTTACTTTTTATTAGGCTGCTCACATTTCATGGAAAAGCTGCAGCATCCCGTTTGTTTTCAACTAAACATTTTGTACACAAGTATCTCTTTGGCGCCTCCTGCTGCTTTCAGCTGGAATATATAGAGAAATTGAATCGTCTCTCAATTAAATTCCAAGTAATTTCTTCTCAAAAAGCGAAACAGCCTATGGCTCTGCACATGATCAGTCATCACACAGCTTCATGGAGGATCACTTTTTATTAAACAGATGCTGCTTACGTGACTCACTCTCATCACATGCACATTATTGTGTGACTAACCAGTAATTCACAGTCCGGTATCTGGGCCTCGGCTGTTTTATTTGCACGCAAATCCTTGGTTTCAATTACATATAATCATTTATTTAATCAACTGCTTTCACAATATTCAGTTATAGATCTCTTTTCGACAGAAGATACACACAACAAGAAACAACAACGATAACGACACACACGCCGTTAATAACTTGGTTTCCCGACGTCTGCAGGGATCGCCCACAGACTCTGAAATGCGTACCGGGTGTGGTTGCCATGGGCGCAATGATGACAGTACCCATATGTAAACATAAATCTCTGAACACCGACACAGATGCAGCTATAAATACACACCAGCACATGTGGAATGACAGTAAATATATAACTCTCCAGTATGATTTCTGTATTCACTTCACATAAAAAAAAGAAAAAAAAGCTAATCACTTGTGTTAAAACAGGAAAAAATAAACTTTAAACTAGGACAATATATAAAAAGTCTTTTTGTCCCTTGGTTGTAAAAGTGGTAGATGAGCGCTTTATACCACAGGGAATGATCATGCAGCACAGTCGTGGCAGAAGCTGACCAAAGATTGGAGGTCGGGGGATCGAGGGGGGGACAGTGTGAGAGAACAGGAAGGACATAACTTAATAAACACACGGCATGAGGGCGAAAACTGGACGACTGTCTAAACTTTGAAATCTAACAGGTTGCAGTCGATCTTGTAGTAGACGTAGGGATAGTACTCCTGCTGGCTCAGGTTCAGGCCTGGGATGTCCATGGCAGACTGGAACGAAGCAGAAGACTTAAACGTTGAGTTTGTGCAGAGGAATCATCTCAATACATCTTAATCAAGCTATCCATTAAACAGAATAGGGTAATGGTTCGTTTAAAACTAACATGGAGGAAGAAGATTACATCCAAAGCCTATGTTGTCACAGCATATCAATATCCATATCTAAAATGAATCAATTATGAACAAAGTATAAAGATCTATAAAGCAACACAACATTGCTGGAAATAAGTTTTAAAAATCCATAGAGCAGAACAAAGTTATATTTATAATGACATTAATGTATTGTTTCTCGTGCTTTATTAATAAGCTGTGTTTCCTTAGTGTGATTGCAGCACTTACATCAATGATAGCTGCTGCACTACTGTCCAGATGTTTGTACAGGTCGTTGAGAACCTCCCGCAGCTTCTTCATGTTCTTCTTGCTGGGCTGCAGAAGCATTGCCTGAAAGTTCACTGGCAGCCCATATCTACGGGAGAACAACGTGGCAAGACATGTTCACTACCACTGGCTTCATTTACAGCAGAAATGAGTCCAAACTGTTAAATGAATACCTCAAAACAGACTCCACAAAGACCCTCAGTGCTTTAATGTGAATCCATGCGATGAAAGCTTCACTGAAGTTAACTTTTAGCCATCTGACGAGGGGACCCTGCAGAAGCCAGAGCGAGAGGATCGGTTATGTTTGGCTTAACAGTTTCTGTACCAGAGTTTGATGCAACTTCACTGACAATCAGTCGCTCTAGTTTTTTGTGATTCAGCAATCACACAAATGTACACATAAATCAACAGATCCCTGCATTCTGTTGCGCTAGTTTATTGTAAATTTTCTGAAAAATAGTCCAAAACATAGGCTTCAAGTGACTGCTAGCTCCTACCTGCAGGTGGCAGTATTTCTTACTCCCATCACGTTGCTGACTCCGTCTTACTTGATGTCAAGTTTTAGTCAATATGGAGTGAAGCAAAAATCGAGCTAAATAAGCTCTTTGATGAATAACATTGTTTGTGTGTCCAATTCATCTGCTTGTTGTTATTTCACGTTTGTCTTTTATCTGTAGATTTCGGAAGGGATTTTAACGAGGAAAATTATGAAAAAATTTCTTGCAAATATTTCTAAAGTGGCACCATGAAAGAAGTGATTTTGACTGCAAAAATGAAGAATTTAAAAAAGGTAAAATCCTCAAGGGACTGGATGAATACAATTGTCAAAGTGATTCAGGTTAAAACAGGTAAAAGCAAAAATTTCTGCTTTCTATGCACAACATGATGGAAAATATGCAGCAGTGTGAGGTTCCACACAGTGGGAAGGAGCTGAATTCATACCCTGTGGCTCCTAAGAGCAACAGATTATTTTTATTTTAATTTACTCAGCTGTAATAATGCAACCAGAAAATGTACGGGACGACCAATCATCATAGATGCAGTTTAAATACTGCATCTATGATGATTCAATAATCTAACTTGGATAGGAAAAAACAAAACAATCCAACAGGAATCGGTTGATCTATATGTAGAAAAGTCAAGTGTCTCACAATCAACTTCACTTACAAACTGCTTCTTCTTATCTGTGGAGAGTCTCGTCATCTCCTCCTTGTCAGCCTTCATCTCCTCTTCATTGTACTGGAAGTCTCTCACCGTGAATCTGGCAGGAAAAAAAATAATAAAAAAGCTTCATTTAATCAAACAAGCACCGTCTTGTGGAAAGCCACATGTTCGGGGAGAGAAAATGGCGCCAGACTAAATCATAAAGTCTTACTTGTTCTCTCTGGCTTTGTGCTTGAAATCATCTATGGCTTTCCGGAACAAAGTGACGCTGAACAGCCCGCTGTCGCTGTCTTCAAACAGCAGGCTGGAGGACGGCGTGGATGGGGATTTTAATATTGCAGACAGTTGTGTGAAAATGCTCGGTGTTGTTGTTCGATCACATTTTTGTAACTTACTTTGACGATCGAGGCACCACCATCTCGGCCAGCGTTTCATATGTTTTCTGCCAGTCAGGATAATTAGTCCTAAAAGAACAGAGCAGTGGCGTTAGTGATCCAAACTTTTGAATCAATCACGACTAGAAGTTTTAGGCTTACTTTGGTACAACCACCAGCATAGTAATGAGGTACTCTGAATCCAGGACAAAATCTTCCTTTTTGACAATGTCCGCCAGGCTTCTGGTCAGCAAGCTCCCCCTAGTGGCAAAGGACAATTATACAGGAATACAAAACAGGAAAGTAAAACAAAACAAAACAAAACAAAAAAACATTCCAGTTCACATCTGAGTAGAACAATAAAATGCCACATTGAAGCTTCTTCTTGAGTCCCTTAAAAAAAGGTATTTAAACTAAATTGGAACACAAGTATTGAACACTTACGCATT